AGGAATGTGTACATGGAGTAACACTCAAAACATCCAGCGGGACCAACTGGATTGGGAGTTGACAAGTCATGAAAAAGAGATGCACTACTCTACCCCATCAGAAGACCACAGTCTTGGAACAGAGAAAGGTCAAGAGCGCAACCAAATATCAGACACGTTTATTTCCTCACAAATCCAAATCTGAGGAATGTCAACTGTCAGCGTGGCTCCATTTGACAATGAGCATCCTTCCATCTCCATTTTCCAGGTCACTTCCTGTTCCTTCCCAGTAGCAACCGGACAGCGACCAATCAGAAGGCTCAGCTGCTGGGCCCTCACCTGCCCCCGACGAAAGGCACTTGTCTGAAATTCTGGCTCTACAAACAATATTCAAGTAAGAATCAAGTTTTGCAAATAGTTTTCCATAAGCATGTTTTTGCTTAACCTGACTTGAACAAAAATTAGCATGTAGAAATGTTTTGCCATGAAAAATTGAAATCGTCTTTCAAGATCTGATGTTGTTTCCAACACTATTCTGAGTATGCTAATTCAGGTGGCTAATATATTCATGTAAACTGTTTGCAGTCCCGGGACTTGCTTTATAACAGGCTTTGGTTTTTGTTTTTTGTTTGTTTTTTTTTCATCTTGTAGCGGACAGCCAGCTGAAGGTATGGACACTGTCCAAAGGTCTTCTCAATGAGCAGCTGGACGTCACTGAGCTAGAGGGACCATGGAGACGTTTTGACATTGACATTGTCTCCACCGAAGAATACCAAGTTAGTCGCTCACATCGTGTAAAACGTTTTCGGCCCCGTCGTGACACTCACTGCTATCCGTTCCGCTTTTGTCGCCAGATTGTGTTTGAGGGAATCAAGGGTGCCGTTGGTGTCCTGGCCCTGGATGACATTGAGTACACCGTCGGGGTCAACTGTGCTAAAAAAGTCACTGATGGAGCTACAAGTAACGAAAAACAGGCCTATTGCAGATTTTCAGTATAAAGCCCAAGTCAGAGTCGGTTATACTGTATCTCCTGTTGCAGCATCAACCAAGCCTAGCAATGCAGGAGGGATTGCAGCATCAGTCATTGTGGTCCTCCTGCTGATTGGCACCTTGATTGCCCTCTTCATTTACTATCTGCGGACCCAAATGAGGGTCCAGGCTTTGACTGACCCGTCATCGTCATCATCTCTCGAAGATCGCGGTGGTTTCGGTAACGACAACTATGAAGCAGATCTCTCAGTAAGTTCAGGAGTGGAACCCCCAAATCGCCTCGATCTACTTAAATCGCCATCCATCCATCGTCCATCGATTTTCTTTGACTCGTTCATGTTCCCTGTATGAACAGGAAGACCACGTGAGAATTCGACCAGCACAAACTCACCCAATGGCAGCTGGGTTCAACAATGTCTCTGTGAGTGTCTCGAGCTACTAATGCGTCTTTGCAGTACAGTATATGCACTGTTCACTTGGACACGATATTGTGTGTGCAGGTCTCTTCCAGAGAGAGAGAGGCGGCGTGATAAAGGGGGAAAAATGCCCATCGGTGGCCTTGTGAAATTTAGGCGATATCACAGCAGAAGAACTGCTTGTGTCGACCTTACATCACACACGCGCACCCACCCACACATGCACGCACACACACACACACACACACACACACACACACACACACACACACACATACAAACACACTGATGACAGCAGCTCGTTGCCACTGGACCGACGGAGGTGGAGGCCCAAGTAGGGCAGGTTATGTTTTCTAGGTGGAAATCTATAGGAACTCTTTTAAAGTGAGAAAACACCTGCTTCCCTGAGCCTGAGCATTGCCTGGGATGACATAAGACAGAATGTGAAGGAAGTTGTGGACCTCAAGTTGAAAGGGCTAAAGAGTTCATAAGGTTGAGAGGTATGTTCATGGGCATCCACCCGGAAGGATCGAAAGGACGAAGCTCTTTTACAAGGGCAATTTTGAATTGATGGAGTGCCCTGCTGGGGAAAGAATAAAAGGAGGAATGATTGTCAAGATAAGAAACAGGTTTTGGAAGGATAGTTGACATGCTTCAACCTATGTAACTGATGAATCCATTAAATTGATGAGCATTGAAAAATGCTTCTGTCTTTTTTTTTTAAGGCATGACTCAAAACTAATAATTCATCCATCCATCCATTCATTTTCTGATCCGCTGATCCTCTTAAAAGTTTGCGGGGCTTGCTTGGGCCTATTCTGTCTGTCTTCGGGTAGTAGGAACTGGTCACGAGCCAATCGCAGGTTGTTTGTCTATGTGGGCCCTGCGATTGGCTGGCAACCACGGCCGTGACCCTCGTGAGGATAAGCCGATCAGGAAATGGATGGCTGGATGGATGGCTGGTTAACTGTCAAAAGGCATGACAACACAAGTAACACGCTCACTCTAAAAAAAAAAAAAAATCCTTGTTTCTTCAAGAAGGGGATGACATCATCCTGGCCCTAGCAACAGTCCGGGCTCAGTAACTCTTATCATTCAGATGAAATACATTCATTTAAAAGATGCCGGTTGTCATGGTTGCACGGAGAGCGCGTGACTGACTACATCTGCAGCCATTTGTGTCTGGCGACATGAAGCATTTAAGAGCCGGAGTGGTCAAGCAACACAAAAATTGTGCATCGTTTTTTTCTCCATCATCACCGTTTCTCAGTTTCTTTTGAATGGATCCCTCTGTGCTCATCTTCTTGCTGTACGTGATGATCGCGCACGAGCTGCTCTGTGGATGGATGCAGAACCGGAGACGAAGCGTCAAGTCCCACAATCGGGCTGGACCTCAGCTGCACCCGAGGTGTGTCTGTGTGTATGATTTGATTTGGTCAAAGTTATTAAGTTACAGTTCAGCGGCGAGAATGTGTACCGTACGCTCACAGCATAACATCGTGAGAAACTGGGTGTCCTGTATGATTGACATTGTCGGCACTCTACCCATCAGCCATCCCAAACCCAAAACCAAACTCACTCAGAAAAGAACCTAGAACCTCCTAATACCAATTTGACTTTAAAGGACAATAAGTTCAGGCACGGCGCTACACCAGGGCTAGAGGTTGCTATAGCCCTGGCCGAAATCAGCGGCATTATATTTTACATTCTAAAATAGTTTTTCTTCATTTCATAAAGTTTAAAAAACATTAAGAATGTCACAAGTCATTGGCCATGACACGCCTGATCTTTCACGGCGCACGCATGTGCCGTGACACATTGGTTGGGAATCACCGCATTATAGAATGCTAAATGTGATTTGCATGTTTTCCGCGCAGTGCCCAAGGGTGTCAAGGAGCGTGCCGGAGAGGCGACCACTCAGTCAAGAGTAGCAGGGGAGGCAGGGACCCGACCAAGTCCAGACGCATGATGAGAAAAGCCTAGAGAAAACAGTCAAGGACACACATTTTCAATGGGGTATGGAACCACTGTTACAATTTTTTTGCCCCCCTTTACAGTCCCAGCAGTACTCGAATGCACTTTGACGCAGAACACAGCACATGATTTCAGTGAGCCAATCACCAGTCATTTAGGTGCCTTGCTACATTTTTTGGTGAGCTGAGCAAATTTATCCGACATTTATGCTTCCAAGATTTGTGGTTCAGAATTTAAAACTGTCACCAAACTGCCTGGAAAACGATCTTGTTTTGTTTCTCACCGACCTCCAAGAAAAATAATGGCCACATCCAGCACTTTCTAAGATCATTTACCAGCTGAAAACTGGCAAAAATAAGTCCCACCTACAGCTCGAGAAGAGATGCCTGCCTAAACACATTTGTTTAGGCAGGCATTATAGTAAAACCTGATTTTTTTTTATACTGTACATCTTATTATGACAGTATTAAATGGATGATGTTTGTGATTTTTATTTTGAAACTTTGTGACTCCTTTCTACGAAAAGTGCTACACACAGTAAATAAAAGGTACATAATTACTTAGTACTCCGCCGCTTGCCCTCAGTCGACCGGATTAAGCTGCAATTACCCGAAAGCCTTTATGAGAATTGTTAAATAAAATGTATGCGTGGAGAAACATGTTCAACCAGTCCTGCATGAACCAGGAAGTAGTCTGTTTCATAACAAACAACACCAATACAGTGTCAAGAAAACAAACACGGCCAAGTTTGTTTTGCAATTGTGACCTACAATCGCGCCTACACCTAATTCTCTTTTACACACCTTGTGTTGTCATCAACGTTCTTTGATGGAGTCTCGACAAGCTTCGAGTGACTCACAATGGCAATTTGTATTTTGTGACGTTTGCTGCTGTTGTGGTTCGGACGTGCGGCTGAGGCTTGTGAAATTGCTGATATCTTAGTGTCGTTTTTGCCTGAGTTGTTGACTTTCCATCATTATGCTTGATTTGATTAAGGTCACTGAGCTGGAAGCCTTGACTCATCTGAACAACTCAAGTGATCCGCTCATATCAGCAGGGACTACTGTCATGGGTGATGGTTTTTGTTTGTCATCAGATCTTTTGTTCACCTCAGCGAAGGCTGTGCATTGTACTGAATGATTAGTTTATTTTCACGTGCCTACTGGGAGTTTTTATTCTTTGATTGTACTCATTGTTGAAATCCTGAAAACTGACATTTTACTCAGTGGCTTCGTTTGTCTTTGTTTTAGGCATCGGATTTGGGAAAAATTATCTTTATTTCAAGAAGTACTATTTTGATAACATGTATATTCGAGCCTGCGATTGGCCGGCAAACGGTTCAGGGTGCCCCCCCGCCTACTGCCCGAAAACGGCTGGGATAGTCTCCAGCACGCCCCGCGACCCTTGTGAGGATAAGGCGGATCAGAAAATGGATGGATGGATGTCTTTTCTAATAATTCCCAAATGTTGTCTAATTCCTAATAATTACAGTGCAGAGTACAGTTAATAGAAGTGATAACAGTGGGAAATTCATTATATATGCACAGACACACACACACACACACACACACACACACACGCACACACGCACACATCTCTGACACTGACACACGCACAAAAGCATGCACACACACGCACGTCTGCCCGTGATGTCATATTCTACGTTGGACCAGATGACTGCAGCTCATTTGCATAGAGTTAAATACCACAAACAGGTTTAGCCCTGTGCTGATTGAGAGCTCTCTGTTGATCACTGAAGTCACCTCCAACCACGTAAGTTGCGTGCTTTATATGGAATGCGTGCCGTTTGGCTGAAGAATACAATTGATGCAATTTCTTTGAGTTTCCTATAGGAACAGAAGAAAAAGATGTCAGAAAGCTCTAGTAATAACCATGCTTTTCCCCCTTGAGGGCTTATGATGGTTATGGGTATCTATAAGTAGTTAGACGATTTAACCGCTAACATTGTACAATTTCAATCGATAACACCTCCCAAAAGAAATGCATTTTGTTGTGTTGAGTTGGTGAGAAAAGAAAAAAAAAATAAGAGTTGCAAAAGAATGAACAGCTGTGGTTAAGTGACTCATGAACATTCTGAAACGATCTTCTTACATAAAGACAAAAAAAGTGATACATAACATTTGCGCCAAGTCATAAAATGCCATGACAGGATGGAAAACTTTTTCCCAGGTAAATATGTCATCACCATCAATTAGCTCGTGTCTTAACAAGACTGTGCGCAAGCATTACATGAGTCTTCCCCAAGGGGACAAATGCCAGGTGACTTACATCTGGATTGATGGAACCGGAGAGGGGCTCCGCAACAAAACCCGCACCCTGGCTGCTGAACCAAAAAGTTTACAAGGTACTGTAAATATGCTGTTTTAATGATAGTTGATTTTGCCACGCCTTTCTTTTTTTTTTTCTTTGCTTTAAGGGCATTTTAAGCGTTGAGGTTAATCCTGTAATTCAACAATTTCTTCTATGTTTGCTTGTAGAAATTTAATGATGGTATGATTCAGCAATGACTTTTTTATTTGAATTAACTCTCTAGTGCTACTCTGATTTATGGCTGAATCTGCTTACCGGTAGATATTCCTGAATGGAGCTTTGATGGGTCAAGCACATCCCAATCCGAAGACTACAATAGCGACATGTACCTCATCCCGGTGTGTATGTTCAGAGATCCGTTCACTCTTGACCCCAACAAACTGGTCCTCTGCGAAGTTCTCAAGTACAACCGCCTTCCTGCAGGTACCCACTTTACTTTTTTTTTTGACCTCATATTTGTGATTCTTCATATCGAGGCAGGAAATCCGCAACTGTGTTTGCATGTTTTTTTTTTTTTTTTAGAAACAAACCATCGCATAAGCTGTAAGAAAGTTATGGACCATGTGAAAGAGCACCAGATATGGTTTGGAATTGAGCAGGAATATACACTCAATGGAAAAAATGGGCGTCCGTTTGGTTGGCCTCAAGATGGATTCCCTGCACCCCAAGGTCGGTATGTCGATAAGAAAGTATTGCAACACGATTTGACAAAAGTTGCCCACTCACCCATATTGTGGCGAACGACCAGGGTGAGTTGCACATTAATCAAACAGTTCCCCAACAACGCCACACTTTTGGAATTTCACCCTGGAATTCTTTTTTTTTTTTTTAAATAAAGTTAATTCACAGCATCCAGGTACGGTACTTCACTACACAGGAGGGAGTTTGCAATTCTTAAAAGTAAATCACATGAAAAAGGGGAAGCCATGACACAAAGGCACGACAATTAGACAGCATCCAGGATGCAGACTCGCATCTCTCTCATAATTATTTGCAATTTTTATTACTCTGCAGTTGGACTCAAACCGTGGCCCTCCTGTTCCAAAGCGCCTTACCCTGTTCACATCATCCTAAGAGCAACGTAGACATGAAATCATTTTTGTATGGCCTTTTTTAAGGTCCCTATTACTGTGGAGTGGGCGCAGACAAAGCTATCGGACGAGACATTGTGGAGTGTCACTACAAGGCGTGTCTCTACGCTGGGATCAATCTCTTTGGAACAAATGCTGAGGTTATGCCATCTCAGGCAAGTGTTGGAAGAAAACATGATTGGCGTTGCCATGGTGATTATTTGTCTCCCATCCCTGGAGAACCTCTTTGCCATTTGAACTTTTTTCATCGTCGCGACTTCTAACTTCAGTGGGAGTTCCAGGTCGGCCCCTGTGAAGGCGTTGACTTGGGCGATCAACTGTGGGTCGCACGCTTCTTGTTGCACCGCGTATGCGAAGATTTTGGGGTTATTGCAACGCTGGACCCTAAACCGGTCGTGGGAAACTGGAATGGCTCTGGTTGCCACACCAACATCAGCACCAAGAAGATGAGGGAAGAAGGAGGACTGCAGTAAGTAAACGGTTCTCCCCAAATACTATATGAGACCATCATTAAAAAATATTGTGTGTGTGTGGGGGGGGCTTGAGTCAATTTTTTGGGCAAATAAAAGGGAAACAAAAATGGGAACCCCAGATATTTATGAAACTTTACAGGTACACTTGGAACAATTAATCCCCCTTTCACTCGTCTACTTTTGACTGACAGATACATTGAGCAGGCCATCGAGAAGCTGAGCAAAAGGCACGAGGAGCATATTAAAGTGTACGACCCACACGGCGGTCAGGACAACAGGAGACGTCTCACGGGTCATCATGAGACCGCCCACGTGAAAGAATTCTCGGCTGGGATCGCAAACAGAAAGGCCAGCGTCCGCATTCCTCATCAGGTGGGTCAAGACAAGAAAGGCTACTTTGAGGACCGTCGCCCCGCAGCCAACTGCGATCCGTACGTTGTGACCGAGGCCATGGCAGGCACCTGCCTGCTTGATGTCGATGACGACGATAATGAAATGAAGGGCAAATAGATCAGATGGCGAGACTTAGTCGATTGTGTCTGCTCGCAGCGTTGTTTCAAATAGGAGTTGCTTTTGAGTGTACATGAATAAATTAAGTGTTCATGTGTTGTCACTTGATGGAATAAGCCTTGTTCAATTTCTAAATCCCCCATAAACACCCCCATCCATTGTTTAGTGTTATCGTTGTTTTTACTGTGCATATGACATTGATTGATAATTTTCATACATGGAAAATGCAACTCAAGATTGTCACTTGGCTACGCATTGTGTGCAGACATGCAAAAAATAATAGTGACCACGTTTACGTGCAGGTGCAGTCAATGACCATTTTATAACCCAAATATTGGCACTATTCGGGTTTTTCACGGCCTTGTCAACTCATGCAAAATCCCGATGATGCACTTGCAGCAGGGGTGTCAAACTCAATTTTTGTCGCGGGACATTTTAGAGTTCACATTTTGAGGTGCACTTTTGCACCTCAAAAAGACTGAACATTCTTTTCGAGGACAACAATGTCAAAATCTTGGACAGAGATCACTGATGGCTTGAGAGAGGTGCGAAGGAAATCATCTGTGTTTTTGAATGGCACTTTTCTATGTGTCCTCAATGTCCTCAAAATGTTTCATTCACCTCTTGAAGAAGCAGCATCAGGAGTAAGTAGGGTTTCAGTGTCTTACTCAAGGACTGTTCCACATGGCCACAAGGGGGCTTAGAGTCAAACGCACCCCATTTACCTTCGTGGATAAAAAGTAATGATCCTAAACACACCCACTTCCATGTTTTAAATTGATGTTTTACATTACCACTAGGTGGTGGTATTGACTTTGCACACGATTAACGTAACGCTTGAATCGTGTAAAGTTATGCAACAACAGTCTTAATCCCCGTGGCGCAGTTTATCTCTTGTTCGACGTCATGCTTTTCAATATAAAGTAGGTGCCTTTGTTTTGTCATCTGTTCTTTTGAGTGTCAAGTCCAGTACGTCTGTGATGACCGCAAGAGCTTTGTGTGTACTTTGTATTTTTTAAAAAATAAATACTAAAAGCATGCGTCCATAAAATTACTTGCAAATTAAATGCATTCTAAATGACTGCAGAACAGTATGTACCACTGAACTCAAGTAAAAAGGTGTGCATAGTTGGCAACGCAGCAGTCTATTCCACTTCGGAACGTTAAAATATCGTTTCTTCTTCCTTTTTGGAATTTTCAGAAAGCAAAGTTGGGCTGAAAAAAATAGCAATGTCTGCATTTCGCTCAAAAAAACTCAAAACATTTACCTTAGCCTAACCAAAAATGTTTCCCTGCGACTTAATGAACTAATATACAGGATAATTGTATTTTTGTGTGTGCGTGGGTGTGTCTACATTTTTCATTGTACACCCCCCCCCCCAAATTTTTATTATTATTATTATTTGTTTTGCATATACCTGCCAGGGACCATATCTCATCATCCCCTGCTGTTACTCATGCACTGTCCTGTCAGATTCGACCGTCAATTAACCAGCGAGATGATGAGCATTGTCGTGGCAAAGCTCAGCACCCGGTCGTCATGGTAACGAACGACGGATTTACCATTCAGCCATATATGGGATGAGGCCCCGGATGATTTATGCAAGACAAGAAAGGAAGTGAATAAAGTATGGTATCTTTTTAATTCTTGGGGTATTTTGACGTAAGTATGTAAAAGAGGTATGTTCTTGATCTTCAAGTTACTGTGGCTCGCATAGTAATATTGTCGTCCAGGTCAAACATATTGTATTCACTCGTATCATGGGCTCCAATTTTACACCTGTTGTTCACCACCGCAATCTGCTTTCCAGAACTTGTCGCATACTGTGACAGATAAGGACCAAAGTGAGATGTCATCTCTTCGGTCGGTTGGAATGTATTGACCTCTGCCTTACTTTAAGCAGTGGTGACATATATCATAGCGTTTATATCCGTTACCTTCTGGCATATATATAATCCTACCGCTCTTGGGAGTACTTCTTGAGAATGACTCATTAAATCATGAAGCTGCTTGAGTGAACACTTTTATGGGTAAACAAAAGAAGCAGTGTGAGTATACGTAAAAATAGGCATACCAGATTTCCATGGCTACAAGGGAGTCACTTGGCAACCATTGTGCTTGTCTGTCGTCATAGAAATAACTGTCTTAGGGCCCTTATCTAGAATATGAATTGCCTGGTGGGTTGTTAATAACTGAGATATGTCATGTCTCTTGTTTGACGTATATGTCAAATCCTCGCTCATGTTATCAGTAAAAGCGAATCAGGCTTGTAGTTGTTTTATTCTGAAATCGATGTCGGTAACTTCAGTAGTTGCTTATCAATGCAGGAAGTGCAGAAAACAACAACATCATGAAGTGCACAGCAACTGAGAGTTCTGATAGAAAGGTAATTTCAGTTCAGGATGTATTTGAGTTTGTTCATGTCGTTCGTTTTTAAAAAAGTACAGTATGTAAATGAACTCCACGCTGACAGTAACGTGTTTTAATAAGAAAACAATGGAACTTAAATCTACCTCTCCTTTTACCAGAACCTTCCAAGTCAGTCAAATATTTGTACAACAGAGTGATTATTTTTGCAACTTGTTATCATGGCTAGGCAATGAAGACTCTGGGAGTTGCTTTTCTCGTTTTATCAGATTAAAATGTTGACAGTTACTTGTAGGCAGAGGAGGTTGGCTGCTCATATGTTTGCTGGGAACTTTATTTGAGGCGGTGTGCAAGGCACCCCCCCTCCTTTTTTTCTGTCATCTCTGCTTGTCTACTACGTCCCAAGGATCAGTTTGTCGAGGATACAGAGTGAAAAGGGGTTGATGCGGGTCAACCGCGAACAAGCATGCATTTATACAACCCCTCTTGACCGTCAGATAAGTGAGTTTGTCCCTCCCATGACTGCCAACGCACCGTCCGTTCGGTGACGTCAATTCTCCTCGCGGCAGCAGGTGAGAGTCAAAGCATCGCGTCTTGCTTTTAAAGCGAACGAGTATCGGAGCGTAGTCATGGGAAAGCTGCAAGAATTTGACATCACGTTCGCCAACAACAAGGTGGTTTACAGTCCCGGAGAGTCGATCGGCGGAGCTGTCAAAATTCGAATCAGCAACTCGCTGCAGTACAAAGGTAATAATGTCTGCTCGAAAGGGAGAGAGAGGGTGTGTGGTCCGGTGAAGCGCTCGGGGACACACGAACGTGGGCAAAGTTTTTCGGTTGCTCGTCAACCGTGTTGTCGCGACCATGCGTTTAAAATGCCTGCGCATATTTTTCCTCCGTTGTAGTTGTTGATGTTGTATTTACCCCCCGGAGGCTTCAGAGCAACTCGGTGGTGTTTAGTTATCAAGACGCGTGAAAAGCCACATCCTGGACTACATCCTGCTTGATACACGCTTGAATTTGTCTGGTTGTAGATTAACAGTTTCAAATTGAATAGCGGGTGGGAGCATACGCATCGTGCGATGCGTCAAACGCGTTTATAGAAGATGGGGATGTGCATTTCAAATGTTTTTTTTTTTCTGACAGAAATGGGAAATAGAGAATTCAGGCATCTGACAATCAGAGGGTGAAAACAGATGAGTAAAGTGCAGCGTCTCACTAGTTGCCCTTGAAATGAACAATGTGTCCATTGTATGGCGATGATCCTTGGGGATTCTTCTGTGATAATTGATGACATGTTTTCCAACACTATTATACTTTGGCGATAATTTGTCGGCAAACAAAAGCCTGAAAAGTATCTTGCCATACACGCAAATGCTTAAAAGGACGTGTCTCGGCGAAGTTGCGCAAGTGTGTGTGTGCGCATCTCGCGAATGTTCTTGATCAGGGTCCGTTCGATGTCGCAAATGGTCGAAAAGACTTTCGCCGACAATTTTAATGGTCTCTAACATCTTTTCGTGTCGTCATAAAAAGAACCCGAGCATGTTCAACGTTTCTTTTGCGACAAAAAAAAAAAGTTTGCGACCATTAGAACTGTTTGCGAACTTGAACAAACCCCTACGAAAAAATAAACAACATTCGGGACTGTGCCAACACTCGCAAACTTTCTCCACTCAGTGAGATACGGGCTCTTGTAACAGAAGCCATGCAACTTGATGACTATATGAGCAAATAAACTGGATGTATAAAGTGACTTGTGGAGTTCTGTCAAAATATTGCGCAAGTCCCAAAGAACAATCATTGGTCGTTTTGTGGTTCACATGGCTGACTTTTATGTCCCCAATGTGGGATCAATTTCCTCTCAATAGCCATATGTGCGAATGTGAGTGTTAGCAGTTGTCTTTCTTCATTTGGCTCATGACTAATTCTGGGTGTAGTCTACTTTTACTGCCAGTCAACTGGAAGATGGCTAGGGGTACTCGTGAAGTGAGTCACCTTCCCATGATGTCCGTTCTTTCCTGTGTTGAATTATGAATTTGTGCAATTTGAGGTTCAATTTTTGACTTGAACTGCTGCAATAAATGATCTCCCCACTGACATTCTAATTTGAGATTCACCTGTAGTTTGTATTTAGTAGCGTTCTAATCCTGCAGTCCTTCTGACCTGTTCGCCGCGTGTTGCACTCCCATTTCAGGCTTTCAGAATTAATGTGCTGTAATTGCTGAGCTTGCGTTTTGCTTTCGATGCGTGCTCCTCTTAAGCATAACTGCTGATTATTCAATCACCGAGAAAGCTTGAATCATGCTGAACCAGGAACGTCTATATCACCGTCGAATCCTTAGCGTTTGGATTCCACAATTAAATTAGCTGCTGTTGGTTTGTTGGGTGACCCTGGACAGTTATTGACATCGGTACGATACACTTTTCTTCCCTTGCTTGACCAAGGTTGAATCATTCAGTGAGATGACAGGTGGGGGGGATGAGCAACGGTGTTGAAAGATAGATGGAATTAGACCACTAATGTGCACAAAGAGGGGGCAAGCCCTCATGACAATAAAGCTCCGAGCATCATTTGCAGACTCAAGACGGTTCACGGGTATCACAGGTGAAGGTGGACCGTGAACGTATGTTTCAGTGTCTCCGTTGCGCTGTCCTTTGTGCTTTTGTGTGTGAAACACACTCAGTTTTTTGAGACCAAATTGACTGCCTCACTGTATTATTAATGATAACACCATTAGAGAGCATTTCTATTGATCGTCTTCCCTTCAAAGTCGTTGAAGTGGATTCATAAGAAACCGTTATTCGTGACAAGTTGAACATGGCCTGTCGTCGTGTGAGCGGAGCCTGCACCAGTACCTGATACCTTTTAAAATAAGGCCGATATCGGCCCGATACAGATACCCAGTCCGGTTGCTAGCCAACCGTGGAAAAATTCAGAACAGTGAAATTATTCATAAAATCTATCGACAAAGTAGAGCACTTGTTTCATGAAATATTTAAATAGCGTGGAAGAGAATGTGCGGGTTACATACTACATGACCACTGGTTGTTTTTATGATGTCACTTTTCAGGGATAAACAAACCTCTTATCCCAGCATGCAAACATGCAAGGATTTGTTTGTGTGCTTGTGTTTGTGTATTGTGCATGTCATGTGTTTGGCTGTAAATCCTCTATCAATGTAATCTGACTGCATTGCAAAGAAAATGAGAACAAATTAAGGATTACCAGCCTTTGGGGAGTTTTCCAGGAGGATTTTTGTTTTGAGGGAAAAAAAAATAAAAACAGTCTGTGAAGAGCTTGGTGGCAGATGTACCACATTCTTAAAGATAATGGACTGTTCGTTGTTTGGGTGATGGCAGTTGAACCTTTTGTTATGTATGCAAAACACCATATCAGTTCTTTGAATCAAAATACCTGCCTATGAGCAATGAAAAGTTGACTAACAGAGTCTGCATCAAAGGCACTGTAGTTTAGGTCGTTGCATCCTATAAGTTCACCAATATATGGCACTAAATTCGGCACACTTTATCTGTAATAACATTTGTAAAGGCATTAATTGGATTACTCTTGTCTGCTCAAATTTCCAAAACATTTCCTTACCAGCTGACAAAATGTCTGCCTATGATCATTCAGTGATGATTTTGGAAAACATTTTATTGCTCGTTTTGTGTTTTTTGACCCATCGTTAACTCGGTACGACGGTTTGATCATTCAGTCAGTGTGCATTTGGATGAGCACGTGGCGAAGCTAACAACAGTGGTGCAAAACAGGCGCAAACTTTAACAGGGAAATATGCCCTGAAGGATGGAATTCCTGCATTGGGTAATCAACAATAAGAGCTCAACAAGCGCAGGCTCGTCGATCCGCCCTTATAAAATGTTGCTCACTCAAAGACCAAAGTGAGTCGAATGGCTGGGTTTTGGAAATTTAAGAATGATCCTGTCATGGAATTTGATCAGGCGGCAGTCGTGTTCGGCTGGATGTGGAAATAACTCCCGGCAATGGTTTTCATTTTGGTCCTTTGAGTCGCAATCGTCACCAATTAGATTTGACTAGATTCCACCGATTCTAGTCAAGTTTTTAACTCCCATTCTAGACAGTTGACGACATCCTCTCTCTGTAGCACCGGAATTGTCTCTGCTTGCGTACACTCTCACTGAACCATAAAGAGGATTTGGATGAACTCCAATGTGTTGGTAACAAATCCAGCTGGCTGCTGAGTCAGAGCATGTTGGACACATCTCATCCTGAGCACTGGTGAAAGACATTCTCCCCTGGAGGTTGTAACCGTTCATTCTGTGGCCCCGAGTGGACGTTGATGTGTTTAGCCTATTCCACTTTAAGATGTGCCAACCCAGTGTATTCTCTATTGTGCGGCTCCCTGAAATTATTTGTGCATTGAAAGCGTGTGTGGGAGCGCTTCTTCACCTGGTCCTTTTGTCTTTCATGCTCATATTTGTGCAGTTCTGTCGCTAATAACTAGCCGGCAGCCACCGGATGAAAGCAGCAGTCGTGTCATCAGTCACATTTGCAAGTAGCGATGATTCTAACGGCCTATGTATACGATCACAACTTAAGTATTATTATGTTGACATGATGAGGTGTATTTATGATTCCCGATTGGTGCAGTTCTTAGTCGTTTATTGTGTTATTTTATTTGTTGTACATAACACAGTTTGACATTCATTTAAAAAAATAAATGTTAAATTACTCTATAAATATCTTTCTAAAGCTAAAGTCTCCATTCATTTATTGCACTCATGTACACTTGGCTTTTTCAGCCTCAAGTACATGTTAAATTATAAATATATAAATACCGTTACTGAGAAACAAATCAGAATTTCTGTGTGTGGTGTATTGTTACGGCCTTTTTTATTTTTCCAAAACAGACTTCTGAATTGTTCTCCTTTTTTTTTCCTTTTTTTTTTTTTTAAACTCGTCTTCAATGGTGACTCACTGATTTTACAGATACAGTCGATCCTCTTTCTTTGGGTGTATACTCAAACAAATGTGTCATCCTTTGTCATGGCCCCTCTGGCTCCATGAATCTGTTGAGACACTGCACACTGTTTTTTCTGTCGACAGACAGTCTGTTGAAATCCCCCAAGGCAGGGAAATCTGTTGTTTCTTCCCGCATGCGAACCAATTGAACTGACTTTTAGTAGAATAAATAACTGAAGAATAAAGACAGCTACTGTATTGTATTCAAATCAATGCAAACACACACATACAGTGTGCAAATATCTATCTATATGAATATGTGTGTGTGTGTGTGTGTGTGTGTGTGTGTGTATATATATATAATATATATATATTTTTTTTCTTGCAAAATAATCTTCCTGTGTGTGTATATATAAAGTGCACCATGAAAGAGCAGGCTTTCCACTTTGTGCCCTTTGACTTATATATATATATATGTGTGTGTGTGTGTGTGCTATAAATAATCCTCATTTGTCTGTCATCATTAGAAGGCTCGGCTGTGTTTAGTGCTTTTTGTCGGAGCCTCTCCCTCCCTGAAGTTGCGCCAACAATCTGGCGAGGCCATCTGCCTCCTTGTGCGTTTTCCGCGTTCGTTACGCAACACTAGCGTAATTCAAAGGTGCAACGGAATGCTTGGTCAGTTGCTCTCTGTTGCATAGGATTTTTCCAAATAACGCTTGTTGATGTTTTGCATAACCTCAAGTGATGCAAGTGTGTCGAACCAGAGTCGATGCACTGCAATTGGCAATACGCAACAGAAACAAAAAAATAATTGTCGCACACAAATGTAATTTTGTATATGTGTTTATGAAATGACTGACAATATTTACTCATCTTCTTGAAAAGAAATTATGTAATGTTTCCATGCATTCATATAAGACCCACGTACCTTTTCTTTCACTGCATTTTTTATACCCAGGCTCAGGGTTAAAGACTGAGGTTGAAATAAATATTTGAAATTAGCTTTTCATACTGCTGCATGGCTGCCTCTTTGTTTTATCCTGTGGCTGGTGTTCGTGTGTCCGTGTGTCCGTGTGTGTGTGTGTGTGTGTGTGTGTGTGTGTGTGTGTGTGTGTGTGTGTGTGTGTGTGTGTGTGTGTGTGTGTTTTGAGAGATGGTTTTCATATCCTCCCAGACTCAAGAGGTCGATGAGAGATGACACAGAGGGACTGTGATCACGCTGCAGACGTACTCTCCAACCTAACACTCCAGATGTAATAGCCTTTATTAGTGCTGCTCCCTATGATCGGCCTCCGACTGTGATCGGCCGGCCGATTTTTGTTTGAAATGGTGTCCTGTTTTTGTATAATAAACAGATGGAAATTTGGAGCGAATTATTAAAATAATAATAAAATGTGCAGCTCAACCATGTGCTGGGTATCGGCAGGCCTTTTTTTTTGGTTACTTCCTTATTACGTGTCTTTTATTAATCGCGGAAATTAGAAATTTGATCTCAGTCACAACTTCCTCTTATTGTTTTTACAGCCATCAAGGTGACCTGTCAGGGCTCGTGCGGGATCTCCAACAAAGTGAACGACACGTCGTGGACTATCGAAGAGCAGTACTTCAACAGCACTTTGTCTGTTGCTGACAAAGGTGATTTAAACATCTGTCTAGCCCTGTTGTTTGCACAGCCATCATTTAATTATTCTAAATTTCAGTGATTCCAGCATGCACAATGTGGTGCTGAGGTTACTGAATGTTCAATGTTTATTCAAACGGTAACAATTGTTTCAGAAAAAAAAAAAATCTATGGTTGTGTAATTGTAGTCGTCGTGGTAGTTACAGTTATATAGGTTAAAAAAAAAAAAGAAACTTTACATTTGTAAATCCATGAGAATGGGAGCAATAGTACAACCCAATTAAACCCCTTAGTTCACTCCTAACAGAGCAGGACATAAATAATGCATGAAACAGTCTCTCTCTGTCCTCCCCCTTATCACTGCCTTTTTTTTCCCCTGTATCTCAATCTCTGGCCTGCTTTGCCCCAAGGACTAAGCAACCTAAGCAGAGGGAGAGACAAGTGAGGTGAATAACTAGCACACAGATACCACCACTATGTACTCAACAAACAGACAAAAAAAATCCAAGGTATCCAAAGGATGAATAACGTGAAGACGAATATGAACGTGTCCGTTTCGACTCTTCATTCTGTCGCTATCATCAGCTAACGACCTACGGGAAATGAAGATCTTTCTACTCCTCCTGCTGCTGCTGTGCAATTGTGTCCTCGAGCCACGCTTGTGTAGCTACCAGATAACAATGTATTGAAAAAAATAATACATTAACCGTCCAATTCCCTGATGTCATTTTTCTATCACCAAACTGGTGAGTCATCATTTGATACACTAAATTACAGCGAGATAACTACATGAAAACACATTTACACACCATGAGGCACATGGGGGAAAAAAAAAACAAAAACAAAACAACCCGTAAGCCTGGAGAAAGTAGTTCCTAGAAAAGGCATCATAAGTTTAAACGTGAACAAATCCATCCATCGCTGTGCATAGGTTGATGAATCAGAATCATTCGAAATGACAGCGCTTGCCCACCGCACCCTAATTTGCATAACCCATACCTGACCCCCCCCCCACTTTCAGATGAATGCGCTCATTCTTCGGGTCGATGGCTGCTTTTTTTTTCCCCTCATCATTGATTAACTTTGCTGAAAAATGCTTTGCCCACCGCCTGTTTTTGCCATTACTCATGGTGCTATTAATCTCCCATGTTGGCAAGTTTCAGTTGATAGTGAGTTACTTCAAACCACATATCAGTTCATCCGTCTTTTGCGCAACATAACCTCTTATCGGCGAAACGCACTCCCACGGGGAAAATAGGCGTGGCACCACCTGGATATCCAATGTTTGCATGTGGGTACAATCGGGTACTAACACTTGTGCTTACCTCAGCGCGAGTGAATGGTTTTCTCTTTTTTGCGTTTGTTTATTTCAGTTGCGTTTGCTCTACACTGTAAGTGATCAATTGTTTGTTTTTGTTTGTTTTTTTTTTTTTCACAGGAACTCTGGCAGCAGGCGAACACAATTTCCCATTCCAGTTTCTCATCCCAGGTGTGAACTTTCTTTCAGCGGCCTGTTAAATTTCATTGCTATTGCTATTTGCTACTTCAATTGTTGCATGGGCTTTTATTAGACATCCAGTACAACCGATAACACGGTGCACTATGACACAAAGCAGATCCCGAGATCAGCGCACTTCGAATGAAGTTTGCTATCTCTCACGCACACACTTTGCGTGGGCTAAGACACAAGGGGTTTGGTGTATTTTTAGTCCCTCTCCTGCTGCGCACTGGGGGATTTAATTGGTCGTCATGCCCCCTTGCTTTCCCTCGCCCCCTCTCATGCTCTCTGACAGAAAGACTTTGCGTAAAAAGGAGCTAGTGGATGATTCTTAGAAAGTGTCAAGGTGAACTAAACTCCAGCGTCAAGCTTTGTCCCTTTCTATATTAGTGCTTGATATTTGGTAGATGACATTGAGGCGTCGTTATCAGAACGGTTGACCCGATATCAATCAACCTGTTATTTGGATGCAAATGCGATACGACGAGTCTCCGGGTGTAGCATCTCTCCAGGGGATGTTAGTCTGCTGCTTTCTCTGCCTCCGCTGCCAGGCTGTCTGCACGATGCCTGCAGCCACCTGCCTCTCCTGGTTAATGCTTATTGACATCAGCAGCAGACTTATCCCCGGAGAAACTTCTCAGCGAGGAGCAGGCTAGAAAGAATACAATAGCAGGCAAAGGCTGCGGCTCTTATTCCAAATCTTACCCCGAACACTGTGCAGATTTTACCCAGACTGTATTTATTTTACATTTAGCACCCTCGAGTTCTTTCCTTCAGCGTCCTTCAATATTCTTGTCTCGAGTCCCCAAAATGTGGTTGAGACAAAACACGGCGAGTGCATTTTAGGTATTCAAGTTCCTTTCTCCTGGCATTCCATCAGCTGCAGCGCCAACTTCTTTCGAAGGACCGTTTGGAAAGATTATTTACCGTGTGAAGGCTGCCATTGACACGCCACGCTTTGCCAAGGACTACAAAGCCCAGAGGCCTTTCTACCTCCTCAACCTGCTCAACCTTAATGATGTGCCGGACATTGATGTAAGTGCAGATCTTATCAACCAAACATTAACCTTTAGCTGTGGTTAAGGCTTATTTGATTTCACATCTGAGGCAGATAGATCAGTGCAGCCCAGTGACACATTGTTAGCATGTGATGGGGCAGAATGCTGTCAGTTTCTGACAAACATTGCCATTCAATTATAGCCAACATCTTTTTCCACAATTCATATCTTTCAATATCACTGATAAGCATTCCACATAATTCGACACGCTTTCATTTTTTTTTTCCATTCCGCATTTCGGCATTCACACACAATTGTTTGAGAAATTGCAACTGTGTCGTTCAACTTGCTTCCCTGTCTCCTCCCTTCAGCACCTGAGCTACGCTGTCACCACGAAGAAATTTAACTACCTTCTGGTGAAGTCCGGGACCCTTATGTTGAAAGCTCGCAGTGACCTCAGGGGCTATATCCCCGGTCAGGTGATCAAGTTAGCCGCTGAGATCCACAACAAGTCTGGAAAAGACACGGGATGTGTACTGGCGAGTCTCATACAGGTAACGCCTGAAAGCCACTCAAAATGTCATTAGTGGAAGGCAAAATGGTTAGCAATGTTTGACCCTGCAAAATCGCTGGAGAGATGTGTCCTATGCTTTGCGGTGTCTGTCACACCTTTTATGTTTCTGTGTCTTTGTTGATCGTATCTTACCCAGAAAGTGACTTATAAGACCAAGCGGCACGTGTTTGACCTGCGAACCATCGCAGAGGTGGAGGGAGCCGGAGTGAAGGCAGGAAAACACGCTGAGTGGAGAGAACAGATCATTGTCCCACCTCTTCCTCAGTCAGCGCTAACAGGCTGCAGCCTCATTGATGTTGACTATTTCATTCAGGTTCGTGGGTCTGCTTGTTCGTGTTTGGTCCAGTTGTAAGAGGATCTTGACATTTCCCCGGGCGCTCATTTTAATTTGTGCCTGGGGAGGTTACTCATGAAATGCATGAAAATGTTGTTGGTCAAAAAGGTGGCAATTATTTGCTTTCTCGTAAAATTTCTTCTACTTTTTATGATAGTATGAGAAGTTTTCCACACGTGTTGATAATCGATATGAAATACTTACCCATTTAGAGCTTTCATTTGATTAAGAGACATGAACTGTGGGATGAATATTCTCAGTACTGCCTTTAAGCGCATCACTATAGTCCCTTTGTTTTTTTGGCATCATTCAATAGATAAGAATATTAAAATTGCACAACTTACAAACTCGGACCTGAATGCAGTTGCCATATTGTGCCCTGTATTTTTTTCGCTGTCTGCTGTCTCCCACTGAGCGGCCAAGGTTTGCGAGTGATTGCGAAGGTAGTTGCGACTGTTAATTTTACGTCAGGCTTCATTCAAGGTTCGCTCTAATCATGCTACTCCGACACTTTCTGCTGACTAGTCAATAAAATTAATTTCAGAAGCCATCGATTGATTATGAAGCTGCAACGAAAAACTATAGACGGTCATTTTTGGTGATTGCAGGTAGCACTAAAATCTCCGGATGCGGTTGTCACCCTGCCCATCTACATTGGCAACATCGCGGTGAACTTGTCGCCGATAAGGACTGTACCTTCTAGTCCAGATCATTGCGGGGTGGCAGATGAACCCGACGCAGCCGGGGTGACACCCAGCGCCCCCCCGGTTGAGGACGATGAAGAGCTGTGTGCCGGCGGTGCCGCCAGCGAAGAGATCCCCACCAAGAGTCATTCTCAGCAAGATCCCTCTGGTCAACCTGTCACCATGTCCCCGAGCGCTTTTAGCCATGCGCCCAGTTCAGCGCTGCTCCCTAGCCGCAGACAGCCCAACGCTTCTGCCCCCTTGTTCTGCGTCTCAACCGGGGCCACCATACCTTTCTTCACTGACGGAGACCCCACACCTGTGCCCACTTCCTCTTCTCTCATCTTGCCTCCAGAGTACAGCAGTTGGGACTATCCTCATGGTAAGCGCGATACATGCTCGGAAATGTCCGCTTCGTATCACAGATGGTACTTTTGATTTTGCTTTTTGTCATGTTTCAAAAACCTGGCATTTGGACAGGGCTGTGTAGACTTTATATCAATGTTGAATTAACGGAAGTAAGATTGCTTTCGTAATTTCATTATATATGATACCGTAAATACATTTCAATTTCTTCTAAACACCAACAAAAAAAAAAGAAACATGAATAGAATTAGTTATCCTATTTTCACCCTGCATTATATTTCATTCGAATCAAGTGTGCGAATGCAACTAAACCCAGAGCAAGACTTTTTGTGTATAACAAATATGCAGAGTTGTTGTAAGAAAGGTGCAACAGCACCAGCTTCAGTTTAAAAAAATAGACCACAGAACAAAAAGCGGGTGATGAAGCAACTTCTGGAAATGAATCATGAAATGAATGCAACATGACATCCTCTTCTGTTTATATCTCTTGTGTCCCAGAACCTCCACCCACTTACGAAGAAAGCTGCAGTAGCACCAACTTCAGTTTAACCAGTGGACAATAGAAACAGCAGCAAATGAAGAACCGCTCACAGCTCCGCCTCATGGAAATACACTTGTGAAAACAGGACCAACTCCAAAACACCAAAGATGAAGATGTCCTCTACAAATAAAAAGGGATCGTGTCTGATTGTAAAAACAAGAATTGCATTTTGATCACACATCCAATCAGACGGTGATGGACAGAGCGTCTTTAACACCACTCTCCTTAAATTAAGACTCTTTTTAAAAGTGAAAAAGCGATGTGAACCCAGTTTGATTTTATTTTTCTGTGCGCTAACTGGCCCATAGTAGCCAAACAGCAGGTCCGAGTCTCCTGGAGTAACCTGCACGGACCGCTACCAGAGACTGTCTGTGTGGGGTATCGCCTGCCCACATGGGCACCGCACCATTGGAGAGCCTGGAATTGCTATGAGTGATGGTCTGTGACTGGACCGCTGTTCAACGTAGGTATTGACAATTACCGGTACAAACACCATATATGAGAGACCAAACCCAGAGCCTGCTTCGGCTGCCTTTGGGAGGAGTTTGTTCCCTTGGAGAAAATATGTCCCATGAAAAGGCCTCATCATACACCCGCAAAGGAATTTGTCCTGGATACGGAGGGAGTGCTGACAATGGATTATGTTCATAGCCCCAATTGCGGCGATAATCGCAACATCAGATGGACAAATAATTTGACCTGCTGCAGATTATATGGCAGACTTGGACTAAGCCGCAGAGGATGAGGCTGACACGGATGACGCTAGAGGAGACCTGCCCTCATCACTGGTGGATGAGCATGTAAATGAGCTCCAAGGCAGAAAGGCCAGCTGTGGATGGCATTCAACCGGAAGCCGCAAAAGGCTTTGAACACTGCTTCTCTTTCTGGCAAATGCTGTGTGCCTTGGGTGGTGCTGTGATAGTATGTTTCCCTCGGGCCAGTATTATTAGCCATTTCTTTGTCTGTATTCTAGGGTTGGGCGATTTTAGCAGAACGGCCGAACACGTCGTAGCAGGGCCACCGGCGAGACAGTTATACCCACTTCGCCGCACCGCTGCCTCGCCTGTCTGTCGAAATATGTCCATACTCAAAAGCGGTCTGTGGTGCAAAAGAGTAAAAAATAAATAAAGAAAACGAGCAGACAGAAGACAGCTGCTCTAGAGACCTGTGCTAAATAACAGGATCCCATACTGCAAGTCAGATGTGGGCAATTAATTTTTTGAACGAGCCATGCAACTCAATTATGTTCAATAAAAATCGAATGTCTTTTTATTCACGCATCCATTTTCTAATCCGCTGATCCTCACGAGGGTCGCAGGCATGCTGGAGCCCATCCCAGTTGTCTTGGGGCAGTAGGCGGGGTACACCCTGAACGTGTTGCCGGCCATTCGCTGTTTTTCTCCTACCACATTCACTGTTCATCATGAATCAAACACTGTCCTTGATCATCTTTTGCATTTGTAATATTCACGCATGAAACCTGTTTCCTGTGCATGGTGGCAGGAGTAGCCTTAAAGATATGGTGACAAGTTTGTTTTCACTTCCATTTATTTATCTTGTCATCACTCTGACAGCATGACATGCAGCAATGTAATCTCTGGCATGACGCTCATTTTAGTGAACTTGTTTCACATGGACTTTGGGATAGAGAGCTGCAGACCTGCTCATCTGAATGTATCTAGTGCATTTGTTATTTTTGTTTACAATTAATTTCATCAAGCGTGAATTCAGACACAAATCCCAGTCCTATTTTATGATTTTAGCAGGTATTGTCGCCATCTGCAAGCGCTCTACTGTTCTGGGTCTCGTCATCCACTGTTGGAGCATTTGATGGCGTTACTCCCTCTCCGTCAGGGAGTAGGTCAAGAGCTGCTTGTGTAGCTTAATGTGGACTATGCCAAACACACTTCATGTATACCAATGTTGCTTTAAAGGTGCAAAGCAGAAACAACAGACTTACACCTGCTCGAATTACTGCAGACAATGTGTGCAATTCCCACCATTGCCAAGAGGAGCATCAGTTTGTTCATCTGAAAGGATTTTGCATTGTCTGCAACATTCTTGGTTCTCCCTTTTTTTGGCCAAAGAGTACAGTAGCTTAATAATTAAGCCCCACCACAAACTCCCTTTTTTCAGTTTTTATACTCATTCTTTCTCACATTTTGAGAAGTGGTATCTGAGTTTGTTTTTTTCGATACTTGTAACTGGTTTACAGGTGCAGTACGGAGATACCAATACAGGAGTACAGTAGCACCTTAAATGTAATATGTCAAATGTGTACAAGAGAACAATAAAGTAATCTGACGTGCTTGGTCAATTTGTGAACAACGTCACCTTCAAAGATTTGAAGTGTTTCCAAAACACTTAGCATTTCTTGTTCTCATTCAAAAATTGATGCCCATTGTTCTTGAGCTGCATGTTCAAACTACTGCCATTAAAATTGATCGAGATATAATCACCTCACAGTTAACTAGGAATTCTGAGACCGTATATTGTCATTGTAGACATTGGAATTCAAAAAATATCAGTCTAATCAGATTCTATCACATTCTTGTTTCCTGAGCACATGATAACTTGGCCCAACAAGAATGAACTCTTATCTGATGTTGCAAGTTGACTACTGGCGTAGTTCCGACCTCTTGTGGAAGAGGTAAGTAAGGCATCAGTGAACTAAAATAGGGGATTGAAATATGGTGTTTCAGTACGACTGTATGTATACAACATTTTCTAAACAGGAGTAACAGTGTAACTGTATTCTGATTGACATGATGGAAAACCTCTCAAAACTTGGAAAATCTTCGGGTCCCATCTGTAAGGCGAGTACGCACGCGCCGAACCCACGTGACCCGGAAATGTTTCGACAATCGTTTTTCGCTGGAAAAACTCCATTACCCGTCAGCCTTTTAATTATTGTTGAAAGTCACGAGGTCCAAGAGTGGAGTGTGAGGGAAGGATTGTGTTTGTCTTTCTTAGCGAGTACATCCAACATTATCTCGTTTTTGAATTCTCACTGTCGAAACATCAAGAGTTACCGCAGACGGGAAAAAGCCGCCCGCAATGGGGAAACGGAATTAACTGCAGCACAGCAACTGACGCTTTCCTTCGCCCAGCAAGTTCAACATGATGCCCGTGAGTTTCGTTGCGACATTTTTTTGTCTTAGTATTCAGTTCCATGCGTTTGCATTCGTAATGACGGTAAGCATTGTACGCTCTTGCCCGAGTTTGGCAGTCTATGGGGGTTAAGCTTTATCAAGCGTACAAGCGGAATGATGCATGACAGGAGCAAATAAGAACCAGAACACATTCATTAAGTTTTGGCATCCAAAATAAAGGTTGCTACTTTTAAAAAAAATGGTATTGACAACAGTTTTCAGCATAGGGGTTTCATAACTCAGACCAGCAAACTTTAGTTGAACAATGTTTTGTTGACGATGTATAATTTTACCCTTATTAGTGGATTACTTGAAAATATCTTACCATTCCCTTCAACATCGGTATTCATGTTGCAAGTTATCAAATTACAATTACAATTGGATGCGCTTAGAACTATCATCATTATAAATATATATATATATACATATATTCATTGGGACATTGCTAGTGGCCAAATAGCGTTAATAACGGTATGTTCTTTGTGGATTACAATGAGAGAAGCACACCTTTGGCATGCGTCTGTGTTAATAAAAAGCCAAGGTGCTGCTGACTAACTAATTCACTGTGTGTGTGTGTGTGTGTGTGTGTGCGTGTGTGCGTGCGTGCGTGCGCGCGCGCGCATGTCCCCAAGTGTACTTTTTTTGAGTGAAGCCCCCTAACAGATGTACTGTGGCACTAAAGCTGTCAAAAGCCCTCAACTTCTGATCCCAGAAGCACGCCTGATTCCATACATCCCTGTAAATTCTTCCACACCAAGCTCGGTCATCTTTGCCTTGATGTACCTTTGCTTTGCACGATAGGGCACAGTCATGCCGAAACTGTAGATGGTCTTCCCCAATATGTTCCCAGAAAGTTTGAAACATAGTTGTCCAAAACAGTGTGTGAAGGTGACGCAGTTTGAAATCACTGAACCTGTATGATGTACAAGTCATGCCTCCTGTGAACTCAGCTGTAAAGTTGTTGTGCAAGGTCTTGGATTTCCTTGTTCCTCCTTGTTTTTTTTTTTTTTTAATCCAACAAAACTTTCAAAAATATTCTAAATAATTCACCATGGTATATATTGTACATGACTCAAACCGAAACAAAACAAAGTTGCATCCCCTGTGCAACAAGTAACCCAAATGACTCGATTTTGTCCAACATAATTTTTGAAACTGCCACCCTCATGTCTCCAAAGCAACAGCCTTACATGACATTTGACTTTAAATAGTTTCTTGCATTGAACACGGAGATGATTTGGCATTCCAAATATTCCACTTTGCTGCTCTGAGAGGGCAAAGGTAGAAAATAATGGGTCAGTGATTTGCACGCTACAAGACATTTTTTTTTGTCCGTCGCGCCACTGCAGCAGCACAGCGCACAACGTGCTTTTATTTCATAATTGAGTTTTAAGTCATGTGAACGTAATTTCATTTCAACATTGGCGGTGATGGAATTTCTTTTCTAATTTAAACAAATCCAGACAAAAGTTCAACAGGAGAATAACACGACACCCGCAGGGCATTTTAAAATGTCACGTCTTTCAAAGAGGCTCCTGTTTTTACCCGTGTGGGTTTTTGTTTATTTATGGATGTATATGACTCCAAAGCAACCAACAACCACAACCATGGAAGTCTATGTAAATGGAATGGCTTCTTCCTTCAAGGTATAAGTCACTGCACTGTGAGGCAGAATCGATACACCAGAGAAAAAAAAAAGAAACTTTAATCAAGGGCAATCTTTACTCATTGCGTGAGGAAACAATAGATGCGGAAACTAATCACATGGCTTGGAAGTGCCTAAGGGCAATGATGAGGTGTACATATGTGCCATTCTACTTGACAATGTCTGACTCTTATACATTCATTTCTTTTTTTTAGATGACATTTGAGGCTTCAAGTAGCGTGACGCTGCTGTTTGACTTCTGGCATGTGAACAGCCCTGGAGGTACCTTATATTCATTTTCTTTATCTCTCCTTGTAGACCTATGGAATTATTTGCTTGTTTGGTGGGTTGCCCAAGTTCTCTGCTGCAAATTATGTATTTATTTTTAAAGTCCAATTTAGGGTCAACGGTACTCTTAAAACCAGAGTACCCAGCAACCGGTCCATTTGGTATTTGATATATGGGACCAAGTATGCGGTGTCATTTGTTACCTATTTAACATTCAGTGTGGATAGAAATCTTTGTATGTTCCCTCAGGTATGTTTTTGTCAGTGATCGTGGTCATGCTGCTGACAGTCTTCTACGAGCTGCTCAAAGTGTGGAGGTTGTGGCTCAGCAGGAGCACGGTGCCGGCTCAGTATATGACTCCTAATGGCGGTGCGCCGTCCCGCCGGAGCGACAGCAGTTCCGTTTTGGAAAACAGCCCATCAGAAGCCTCATTGACTCCCAGAGAATCACAACCTTTCTTTCCAAACAACAGGGGCCGGTACATTTTCTCTCTTCTCTTTTTCTCATAATTGTGACATACTTTCTACTTCCTTCTGTGAAACGTACTCTGCTCGTGCCTAAACTTGTCCGACTTCCATTGTTGCTCATAATCAACATACAAGCCAAGATTCCCCCTCTAAACTTTATCTGTAATGCTAATCTCACATCTAAAATGATGGACTGCTGCCATCTACTTTGAATTTCACATGGCCCTTTTCCAGCGCGCTGATGCATTTTTAAATATATATTACTGACTTATGTCATTATATGTTTGACACAGGTGATGGAAATATTTTCAATCCTTACAGTCGTTTTGAAAATAAATGATCTGTGTCCTGGTCCTCAGCCGGTTGCTACATGGAATCCAGACACTGCTCCACTTGCTCCAAGTGACGTTGGGCTACATGCTGATGTTGTGCGTCATGTCCTTCAACGTTTGGATCTTCCTCGGCGTCATCGCAGGTTCCACACTGGGTTATTTCATCTCATACCCTCTGCTAGATTGGCATTGATGGACAGTGCAACCCGGGGCGCGTTCTCACAAGAATTAAAATGATTTTTTTTCCCCGTGGACGCTCACTATGCTGTGCTAACACGACTTGGGTTGTTCGGTGTGAAAGAAATGTCATGTTAAAGTCCTAATAGCTACTTGAGCTTAAAACCAAGTTGGCGAAGATCAGTCTAATCATTCACAAAAGGAGCTCAAAGGGAGTAGAAGAATTATGATCAACAATGACTTCATGATCTTGATAGATTAACACTGTGAGTATACAGAAAGGTCTGATTACGATGTAACCTATGCTAATTGCATTGCATCCCAGTCTGAACACTAATATGTTTGATTAAAATAAAAGGGAAAAAAAAGCTATGAGAAATGTAAAATTGTCTGTGATTCAAAAGCCATTTCATCTTTGCTCAATAAAGCTGAGTTTACTTGGACACGAGATATCAGTTCTCAGTCGCAAAATAATGCAGAGCCCACTTTGAGGAACCGATTCAACCGTATGCTTTTGGCTTGTAAGCAGGCCTAGAGTGGCCGATCAGGAGCTTTGGGACAATTCCCCGTGGGCTGGACTGCTATTCAAGTCTGCGTTTGTTTTCCACCACTCAATACATGCGCTTAGCAGTTGTTTGAAGCCCAAGAACACATCTTGACCGGGGGTGCCAATAATTATGGAGGGCAGTGAGCACTGACTGCACTACATTTATTACAATGCGTGTCACCAAAAGTAGAAATAATTTAATTTGTGACTCATGATTTTTAGTTTGACAGTTTTTGTGCTTTCTACTGTCTTTGTTATTAATATATTGTTTTATTGTTTGTTGTTGTATGAATTATTTTTGCTCTATGTATACAACAGAGGTTGTTTTAAAGTGCTTTATGAATACAGTTGAGTTGATTATTGCAGCCATTTTTAACATGATGTTTATACTGTAAAACACATCCCGATTTCTGTTTCATTCACTTTGCATCCATCCAACCATCCATTTTCTAATCCTCTTATCCTCACGAGGGTCGCGGGCGTGCTGGAGCCTATCCTAGCTGTCTTCGGGCAGTAGGTGGGGGACAGCCAATTGCAGGGTTCACATAAACGAACAACCATTCGCGCTAACAATCACATCGATTGGCAATTTAGTGTTCCATGAACCTGCAATGCATGTTTTTGGAATGTGGGAGGCTATCAGAATACCCAGCACGGGGATAACATGCAAACTCTCCATTGGAAGGCAGGAACACTGTACCTCTGCACTGTGAGGTGGTCGTGTTACCAGTCGACCACCTCATTCACGTTTCAAAAGCTATGCAATACATTTCATAGTTTGTACTTTTTTTACTTAAAGAGTAGAATTGTTTGTTTTTTTTAAACATATGTATCTGTTCTACCTAAGTACACAGTGTGAAATGTTAATCCCTTTTCAACTGCCCCGCCTCAAGAACTCTGCATATGTCTATGATTCAATTTGGGTTTTTTTAAACATATGTATCTGTTCTACCTAAGTACACAGTGTGAAATGTTAATCCCTTTTCAACTGCCCCGCCTCAAGAACTCTGCATATGTCTATGATTCAGTTTTCCCAGACATGATAAAATACACACTCTTTCCCGGAAATGGAACATAGGTTAATTTGACAGCAGTGTATGACGTTTCAGGCGTTTCACGAAACGCTGACAATAAATTCCACCAATTGAAATTGTGGGTATTAAATTGACGTCAAAACTGTCCAATGAGCGGCAGTCTTTTTCGACTCACAGAGGAAAGACTTCCTTTTGCAGCGAATGCTGCAGGTTAGTTAGTGTGTGTCGGACTGTATGTCTCACGCTACGACGGGGCAAGAATAGCCGCCACTTTGTTTGTTTTACCAAACTATTTCGTCAGCGGAGCACAACAGCCCCCGGACTGACATGTCGACGGATATAACCAAAGGTGTGGACCAAGTGTCTGTTGGTAAGTAAGAAACCAATGAAAATCTGCAGGCTAAGTATGTTAGCCACTTAGCATCTGATGACATGTGTACACTCGCAATTGCATCAGTCACACACATGCTAGCAGTTAGCTTGCTAGTAATTCCCAAGGCTCTAAGATTCACTTATATTTCGATTAATTTGCGGTAAATTGCTGTACTGTATCTGGTAGGATTATGAAACGGACGTGAAAATGGAACCATTGTAGCCTCATGTTAAACCCATCCCAACTGTCATTTTGCTACACAGATTTCAACTACGTCAGTGAATTGCGTTCACTAATCAGCACGAATTAATTAACCAGTAGTCAAGGTTAATTTTATTATTGGTTAAAAACAAATAAGAATCATATAGGCTTTTATTATATTGATAAATAGCCTGAGTACATCCTCGCCCCCACCACCCTTTCTTTTGACACTCGACTCTTGATTTATTTATTTTTTTAACTTGAATTATTTAGTCTGTGGACTATAGAAGCGCCTGTTCTGATATGGCAATTGATATAACAAAAGTTGTGGATCAAGTGTCTTTGTGAAAGGACGTACAGTCTGAGCCATTTGGATGAAGCAACGATTGCGAAACCGTCGATGACGAAAGCATTGTGAAAATGTGGGGGAAAAAAAATGAGTATCTGATGAATCACCAGAAACCGTATGGCGTTCAGGGGGGTTACATTTACACAGAAAATACGACTGTTGACGCTGAAAAAAAATCTAAACAGAGAGGGTTGCGAGTCAAGTTGGTTGAAACCTAAGCTTTATGCATTAGAAAATGAACACTGGTTCCGGGCATCAGAAACATCATTTAAAAAATAATTGTTTCGAGGCATACATTTTTGGATTGACAATTTTTTTGTAGTAGACACAGCAGTGTTGGTCGACTCTCCCCCCCTCCCCCCCAGCCCTCCTTAATATGACAGTTATTTCTAGCTCTGGTATTAGTAATGACAACATTCCCCACTTTATGACTCAAAACCTTTTCTGACATTTGTCATTAATCTCAGAGAGAGATTTTGTGTGTAAAACTCCTGTGCTTGTGTGTACCTCAGAGGAAGTGTACGTGTCGGACAAATGTGGCAACGACCAAGATGGCGATGGGTCCGAGCAGAAACCCTTCAAGACGCCTCTCAAGGTAAGCACAGTGTAGGCAACGTTTCAACTTGCATTTTTATCATTCAAGGCTATGATTCAAGTATTTAAAATTTAAAAAAAAAAACATGTAATAATGTCTGTATCTGATCATTGTGTTTTTGATTTACCTTCCCAGGCTCTTTTGTTCATTGGCAAAGAACCATTCCCAACAATCTACATAGACTCACAGAAAGAAGATGAGGTAGCGAGATTTTTTTTTCTTTCCGACACATCTTTTAAATATTTTTCTCTAAGGCTGCCACTCGTGGTGCCCATCTCTTCATAAAAGCCGATGTTTCTATAATGTGTGCTACTTGACAAGATTTACTTTTCTGGCTTGAAATCACACACTATTAAGAATGATGCCCATCGTACATAACTAGTTGTGGTAAATTACTGTGTTTTTGGCATCTTATTTGTTTCTGTCAGCGTTGGGTAGTGATCTCCAAGACGCAGATGAAGAATGCAAAGAAAGCTTTTAACCGTGAACAGGCCAAGAATGAGTCCAAAGAAAAGAAAGAGGTGTGTGCCTCACCTTCACATCGGTTGCTGCAATACACCTCCCCCTCCCCCACAAGTTTTGGTTTTATTCATCAGTCTTAATTATCGTGTTTTTGGTCCATGATTGTTGGACAGGCGGAAGACAATGAGAGGAGAGAGAAGAACCTGGAAGAAGCCAAGAAAATCGTGATGGAAAAGGACCCCAGTTTGCCCGAGCCGGAGACGGTGTGTCTTTGATTTTGTTGTTGTTGATGTTTTTTGATAAGTGCAATGTTGATATATAAGCAGCAGTCAAAATGCCCGAGCAGGACTCATTTGGCAGCGTTGTTCGCCTTCAACTGCCCTTCAGCTTTTCTTTTCTCTGGACAAATTTGGATTTTTATTTATTTATTTTTTTTTCCCCCCCCAGGTAAAAATCATCAACCTGGGACCAAAGCGAGGTCAGAGAGTCAAAGTGTTTGGATGGGTTCATCGCCTGAGAAGACAAGGTTAGGACACTTGAAATTCCATATGGAGGCTCATATCCACTGCTCTCGAAAAAGTGAAGACATTTGAATTGAATCTTGTTTTGTCTATAGGGAAAAATTTGATGTTTATCGTGCTGAGAGATGGAACTGGTTTCCTGCAATGTGTGCTGTCTGATAAACTGGTAAAACTCAAAACAATGATGACCTTTTTTTTTTTTTAAATACCAATTTAAATTGTCCAGTGACTGACATCTTCCATTCTTGCATATTGATTTCATGTCCAACTATTATTTCACTTTGTAAATTATTATTATTATCCTTAATTTTTTGGGGGGGGGGGGGGTTGGGGGACTCTAAAAAAGTATCAACATCTACCAACTGACTGCTCTTGTTCTTGTCTCCAGTGCCAGTGCTATAATGGCTTATTGTTGTCCACGGAGAGCAGCGTAGCTCTTTATGGGACTGTGACGCCAGTTCCTGAAGGAAAACAGGTGAACATGCCTGCACGCAAACAGGAAAAAAAAAGCTTGATTGTGTTTTTAAAGGAAACCTAGTGTGCTTTATTTTTTTTCCCACCATGTAAAACCATTTCCAATGTCAATACTGTGTCTGTGATACGCTTTTGTCCAAATAACTCGGGCGTCGAGGATGATAACACTCACGCGTTTCCACATTGCGGATGAAAATAAACGTCCATCACTCTTCCAGGCACCAGGAGGCCACGAGCTCCACTGCGACTTCTGGGAGCTGATTGGCTTGGCGCCGGCAGGCGGCGCCGACAACATCCTGAACGAAGAATCTGATGTGGACGTCCAGCTTAACAACCGACACATGATGATCCGAGGAGAGAATGTTTCCAAGGTCCTCAGGGTCCGATCCACGGTCACGCAGTGCTTCAGGGAGCACTTCTTCAGTCGTGGCTACTGTGAGGTGAAGCACTCCCTCAAGGAGTCATCTGAGTTGAGCAGGGCAATTGGAGGGTTAAGCCCGGACACATGGAACAATTTTTGACATGACAGCCAATTTTTAAAAACTAAAAAAAAATAAAAAATAAAAAATCGGCAGTCAGTGTTGGCCTTAGAAAAAAAAAACATTGTTCTTGTAAATGTTAAGCTTGTTTAACGCTCATGATGGTCAGGCTGGCAGTTTGGGGGAGGAAAAGACCCTCTTCACAACACATCCCTGAATAAGGACAACCTACTTCCTGTTTCCCGTGCAGGTTTTTCCGCCCACTTTGGTGCAGACTCAGGTGGAGGGCGGCTCCACGCTCTTTAACTTCAACTACTTTGGTGAGCAGGCTTACCTGACGCAGTCCTCCCAGCTTTACCTGGAAACGTGCATACCTGCGTTGGGCGACAACTTCTGCGTTGCTCAATCATACCGAGCTGAGCAGTCCCGCACCCGCAGGCACCTCGCAGAGTGAGTCTGCCAAACTCCTCTCTAGCCAAGCAAATCAAATGTCACTGATTCAAGTACTCATTCTCCAGCGAGTATCCTTCAAGTAAACCCAGAAACACAGCCAGAAAAACGTGCCAAGTTAGTCAGGATGAGTTGCTGTCAGCTAGATTCTTCAGGTGCTTCCTTGTCACCCATCAAAAGTGCCTCCCTGCTTTTGTACTCGCATATCAATCAAAATGATGCCTGTGTGAAGTTGAGACACAACACGTTACAAAGTGGCTCTTTTATGATGCATCGTCACCGTCCTTTTCTGCGCAGGTACACTCACATTGAAGCGGAGTGCCCCTTCATCACCTTTGAAGACCTGCTGACCCGACTGGAGGATTTGGTGTGTGATGTTGTGGACCGGGTGCTCAAATCCCCTGCTGCGCAACTGCTCTACGACATCAACCCGGTACCAAGCCAGATCAAGTCCACCCTTTGTATTTTTATTTTTTTGCGGGGAAATTGCATTCTAATGTTGCTATTTTATTTTCCGATGATGGTCTCAGGACTTCAAACCGCCTAAAAGGCCTTTCAAGAGGATGAACTACTCGGACGCCATCAAGTGGCTCAAAGAACATGACGTCAAGAAGGATGACGGCACCTATTATGAGTTTGGAGAGGTGAGCATGACTCAGACAAACGCTTTGCTCTCTCAGCGTCCAAAATCTTTAGTGATGACTGTATTTCACATTGTCATATGATGAGCGTACATGGAGCTACTTGGGATCCTTTTTATATGATTGTTTTTGTAAGCATACTTTTTGCTTTAAGAAATCATTAGATATGCAGTGAAGCCCCGCTCTTCATGCGGAATTGGGACTGAGCCCTGCCACAAATCGTGAAAATCTGAAACCAATTGACCCCCGAGCAGTATAATTGCTTCGAGGTGCCAAAAGTTGGCTGCAAAGTCCTTCATTAAGCTCCTTACATCACTTCAACAAATAGCAGTTCCTTGGCACCAAGATACCAAAGCAATGCTCATTCATTATACAAGGAATTTTGCCTCAGCACTTAAATGGGGAATAGAAGCAAATAATGGATGATTTTGCGAATGGCAATCTGAGATCGCTAGTGCAGCAGTACTTTCCACGATAAAATCCTACTTTCAAAATACTAATTCCCAACCATCGCACGTACATCCCTTTTGTTATGAAACGTGTTATGTCATCACCTTCCTCTCATTTGTCTTTCCTGTTTTTGTGTGTCAGGACATCCCAGAGGCTCCTGAGAGGCTGATGACAGATGCCATCAACGAAACAATTCTGCTTTGTCGTTTCCCAGCTGAGATCAAATCCTTCTACATGCAGCGCTGCGCTGACGACAGGCGGCTCACAGAGTCGGTAGGCACCGTGATTGATCGCGCTGGCCTCAATTCAAAACTGAGTGCTGCACTCCTGACAGCTAAATTGTGCCACCCGAGCCACTTGCAGTACATTGAAGATGCTCAACTCTAAATTCAGACTTACCTGTGTACTGTAAAACCCTATATAAAAAAAATATATATATATCATGAACACATCCCCCTTGTCGCAGGTTGATGTTTTGATGCCAAATGTGGGTGAGATTGTCGGAGGCTCCATGCGTATCTGGGACGCCGAGGAGCTGTTTGAGGGCTACAAGAGAGAGGGCATGGACCCGACCCCGTACTACTGGTACACTGATCAGGTAACTGACCACTTTCCGGGTGCCTTTTTTGCCGCTCTGCTTCAAGAAGCATTTTATCGACTGAAGCACAATCTGAATTTCTGTTACGTACCATTCAGAGGAAGTATGGCACGTGTCCTCACGGCGGGTACGGCCTTGGTCTCGAGCGTTTCCTGACCTGGCTGCTGAACAGGCACCACATCAGAGACGTCTGCCTTTACCCAAGATTCATCCAGCGTTGCCGCCCCTAAACACACACATGACACGCTCGCTCTTGGCCTCACCTGTGGAACCGTAATATTAACCTTAATATCGGATCAAATACACAAAAACGAGAAATTTATTCCATTTTTTTTCTCCGTTGTCTGCTTCATATCTCGCATTTCTCAAATTGAGACCCAATCACACTATGTTGTTGTCCGTGTGCTGCTTGGCATATGTGCGGTCACTTCAGCTTACAGAGGCTCACTAAAACTAACACATTTGCTGTAATTGTGAAATGCTGAACGTGGTTGATTGTTTCCTGCCTTCAATGCAGTTTTTCTAGCATCATCTACGCTGTGACTGATGCTTAGCAAAGTAGAGTAGATTTTTTCTAGCTGTTGCTTCTGCCATTATCCTCTCCTGTCCAAATGTCCTTGGAGGAAAAGATGTCATCATTCTTTGGTGTCTTCAAATTATTTACTGAACAACTATTCAAAACATTGTTGGAGGAGGTGTGGCCCTCCATAAGGAAAGGACTAAGCAAGAAAATACACTTTGCACACGGGTATTTATGATGCCAATGTGTATTTACAATGGGACACAACTTTAAATCACTCGTAGTAACATTGACAATTTTGTGCTCTGGCGCGCTGACAAACATTTGACTACTGAACAAAAGCCTGAGTTGCACCTGGTGCATCGGGTGATTACGGTTATGTACATGGCATCAAATGTTTGTTCCGTTGTTTTTTTTTTTTTTTTTTTTTGTGATCGGAAAAAATTGGAACATACAACGCTTCAATAAAAAGATGCAAACAAATGAGTAATTATCCTAGGATTCGGTGTATTAGTAGAAATGGGGAGAATGTAAGGTAAAATGTCAACCATGCATCCATTTGCCCTTACTCCATACCACTCAGCTTAATTACTCAATTCTGAATTACAGAGACAAATGGAAGAAAATGAATCAATGTCATCGTTACTTGGTGTTCATGTGACAAATATGTTTCCGTCCAATATTAATCTTCTGTGTGTCTGATGACTGCAAATCGTGTCTGATGGTTGTTACAAGCAACATTGTCGCTTTTCCTAAATGTATTTGAATGCACACGTCCAACGGGTTCAATGGCTTTTGCACAATTTGCGGTCATCTGAACTAGCAACTGAATGGCAACATTCACAACACGTGTTTCATCATGAATGGCCCAATACATTTCCTGATTCCGTTGGAATTGGTATTTAAACAGTCCTCTTCATCCTACTGCTCACATTTTGACATCATGAGACCATTCTGTGCAGTGCAATTTAGGCTTATCCTGAAAATTAACCTGAAAGCTAAATACTGTGCAGGACTGCGTGCCTAACTCTTTGAAAAGAGTTGCATTTGTTTGGAGTTGTTTGGCTGAATTTTCTTTCCCCGTGGGAATGAGAAAGGCTTTGAAGGAAAACACTCCCTGTGTTTCAAGCAGATCAAGAAAAACCAGTGCAATCTAAACCAAACATGTAGAATCTCGAGTCTCACGAATAGTCGAATTTACCGTCCAAGGAAAGAAACATGCCTATATTTCTGTTTGTATAGATGCTGTATGTATGTATTTTTAATAAGGAATAATGTATCATGTCCTACTATTTATGATCTACACATTGCGGAAACGGTTCCCGTACTGTAAGCATAGGATTTGATTGAAAATGTTGGTGCTTAAATCTACAATATTTAATTTTGTAAGTGTCAAGGGAGTGGGCGTGTCCATTACAAATGAAGGCGGGGAATGGTTCTGGAGTAGCGTGACGTAACTTATACGTAACCGATTTGCATCAGTTGTCAAGCAAGAATAAATGACCAAGCGGAAACGACAATATTGACCGAGACGATTTCCCCAATAATAATAAAAAAAGAATGCCTTTTTAAATTCATTAAATCACAATAAAACAGTGACCCCAGGTGTAAAAGCATTCACCCAAACTCGCTCCTTTTGTCTGCTGCTAGAATACGTAACTTTGGTGTGACACACATTAACAGCTCTACAACTCACAGGTGACTGTTCCAACTTCATTTTTCAGGCAAATACAGAGATAAATACATTGAAAAATCACATTTAAAATCAATCCTATAGCACCATGCATTAAATTAATCGCCAAAGACGAAAAGGAATGTAATATTCACAGTCAATATAGTTCGTTTTGGTTAGTTTTGTAAACGTAAAATGTAGTTTTAGTTTTCATTTTTACAAGCATTTCCATTTTGATTTTATTTCGTTAACAAAGTTGTTTTTCAATTTTTGTTTTAGCTATTTCGTTGGTTTTCGTGAACTAAAATATCCTTGTTTTGAAGCTGTTCTAAAATAATACCCGGAAGTAATAACCATGCTGCCAAACTTGACAACTTGATGCAGCCAGCTGGAGGCGATAGCTGAAGGAATCTCGTTGACGTATCGTACAACGAAATACGCGGGACGGGGAAACACTCGCGACCACAGCTGGAGAGAGCAAAAGTGCAAGACTTATTTATCAGCTTGATTTTTGGGGGGCGACAAAAATTGGAAACTATCATGATGACAGTCCTCGGGAACGCCGGTCGCTTGATCCAATGTGAGTAGTACTATAGAGCTAAATTAGCTCGGACGAATCTATGTTTAGACACGCGAGTTGCGATTTATTTAAACAATTCCAAAGTAGTAAACTACTGTTGCATCTTCGGTGTGGTCTGGGAACAGTTATAAGGGAATGGACTGTCTAGCCCTGCATGTAGTAAATTATACCAATACATCGTTGACATTGGCATCCGTTTCATAAATGATTGATAAGTTAAATGGTTAAAAGTGCTCAGTTTCCGCTGAGAACCTTTCATAATAAAATATATTGTCGTAGTTGTTATTAGATTTCCTGTAAATCCATATTTTTAAACAATTAAGGATTATTCTATATGACCTACCTGATTCTGATTTGTTGTCTATTTATGATATTCTACCGTCGCTGTTTCAAAATTAAAAGCGTAGCCCATTGTCGGCTTTAATTTATTTTGTAAACTAAATTTTATTTCCGTTACTGGTTAACCTTAAATTCGACGTTTTTACAACAGCGCAACGTGAGCAGTGTTACATTTGCGTAATCAACGTATGCATTGATTCAAATTTCAACGTCTGAGTGATATCTGTCTTTACTAAAAATATTACATCGTTTTTTTTTCCAGTGGAGCATTTCATTAGAGTTACACAATTTCAACATTTTAAACTTGCGTAATCTCACTCGGCACCCTAGCGGCGTCTTGGGATATTGCAGCATGAAAATGAATGCTTCTTGAAAGAATTGGTACAAAACGGCTTCTATCAGTTGTTTTTTTTTTTCTATCTGTGCATTACTTTATCTTTACTTTTTTTTGTTTCACTCGGTGCGTTATATGTGATGCCAAAACAAACATTTTCTCTGGGCATTTTTGGTTACCTGCCACCTTTCCCAGACATGTATTAGTCTAATTGAAGGCTAAATTGTCCATAGGTGTGAATGATTCATTGTGTACGTGTACCCTGCGATAGATCAGCGACCAAATTGTAAAGCGCTGTAAGTCAACATGTATGTCCGGGTTGTTCACTTACCTCACTAATATGTCAGACTGATTTTATTTTGATCTGCTCCAGTTGCCAGGAGCAGTGTCAGTCTCAGCCTGAGGACTCGTGCCACTGTTGCAGCTTTGGCCCATAATGCGACCCCAGAAACACAGGACAATAGGTGAAACGCACACACTTGTGCTTAGCCACTGTTCATTTTGAAATAAGAAACATGAATGCTTACATTGAGAATTCATTGTTTTTGCACACCTTTTACTTGCTTTCATTGACAATGACTGTAAAAGTTTTTGCTGGTAATTTTGGACACACTTATGTAATTGTGGTGCTAAAAATACCTGCCGTGTCACTGTCTGTAGGAAACTAATGTGCTGGGTCAGTAAGGAACCTATTTTATTGTATTCCCCGTGAGGGATCTACGACGCTTGGCATAAGATGACATCATTTGTAGCGTTTGTACATACATGTTGTTAATTAAGCATGAAAGAAAGGAAAATGCCACTGCTGTGAATTGAGGGCCGCTCCGGCAGGGGCATTACATTGGGTGGTGATTTAAATATTTGCTAAGGTTGTGCCGACGGAGTCATATTTTTAAATTGTGCTGTCGTACCTCATGTTGTGAGTGTATACCATGTAAAGATTTATTAACATTAAGTTAGACTCATTTCTTCGCAGAGCAGTCGAGCTAAGGGTATTGAATGTAATGACTGCTTTTGAACCTGTTTTGCAGGAAACCTAAGACAGGAATCTTGATGCTGAACATGGGAGGACCTGAGAAACTAGAAGATGTACACGACTTCCTGCTCAGGCTGTTCATGGACACAGACTTGATGAAACTCCCAGTACAGAAGTAAGAATGACAAAATCATCAAGTACATTTTTAAGGGCAATACATTTCAAAAGTTGTCGGTTTTGATTTTATATTCAGTTGTGACAGAGAGATAGACAAACAAGTCGAAAGTCGCTCTGCATTCCGCGTCTCTCATTCGAACTCAAGGTTGATCAGGAGTATGTTTATTGTTACTCGGAAACCTCTGCAGCTTCACACTGCACGCCGAGTTTATTTCAGCACAGTAGTATGCAGCCTTGAAGATGCAGAAAGGAACTTTGTGTTCATGTGACTGGCGAATTTCTTCACTGTTGATCATGTACATGATTGCATTCTCCTGCCCCGCAGTAAACTTGGCCCATTCATTGCCAAGCGCCGTACGCCAAAGATCCAGGAACAGTATAGTAAGATTGGAGGAGGCTCGCCCATCAAACATTGGACCGCCATGCAGGGAGAGGGCATGGTGAAGCTGTTGGATGAAATGAGCCCTGAGACCGGTGAGAGTGAGCGTCCACGCGGCACATTGCTAAGCAGGTGTTGTTGTCATCCAGCCTGTCAGAGACCGACAATGGTCACAAAAGATTCCCACTGCATCTGGCACCTCTCAACATTTCTTCAAAATGTTAGTGAATATGGAGTTGGAAGAGCATAGGGGAAAGTAAACCCCCACAAAGAAAGTTCCATGCTAAATTCTGGACCCCAAAACCTTTGTGATTCACACAAGCTAACCGCCTGTTTAATGTCGGTTGATCATTCTCATCCCGAGTTGATTGAACGACAGTGAAATTAAATTTTGTCCACTCCAATAATCGATTTCAGACTTGTTTGTATCCGCGGCACTCCTTGGGTGCAAAACGAAGATAGCAGCACATTGGAGGAGTGGCTGCTCACACGCCTGCTTCACACCTCACTGATAACAACGCAAACGAAGCAGCAGTTAGAAATCAAGTGACGGCTGACAACCGCATGCAAAGCTGATATTGTTGACAACGCCTCCCCTGCAGTCTTCTGTCCTTCATCCCCCCCGCCCTCCCTTAAAACAATTTCCTTTCTTTTTCTATCCCATCAGCACCTCATAAGTTCTACATCGGTTTCCGCTATGTCCATCCACTGACTGAGGAGGCCATTGAGGAGATGGAGAAAGACGGGGTGGACCGAGCTGTGGCCTTCACACAATATCCTCAGTATAGCTGCTCCACCACAGGTCACCGACAAACACCATTTAGTCATAAATCATATTTAGGAGAATGACATCATATGCAGGGTTTTCTCCTACAATGCTAACATAAGCCAAAAATGTCCACCCATATACGCCCTCGTCAGCTAGCGCGGATGTATTGCTGTTTGGTGTTAAAAAAAAAAAAAAAAGCATGGTCTCAGTTTTAAAGTTTTTAGCCATCTCCACATTACTGTATTGTTTTTTTTTTTGTTAGCACCATAGCGGCCAATTGCTGTATTGCTCACCTGTAAGTCCATCAATAGCTTGGCCTAACAGGTTTCTAACCTCTACAAGTCACAAGATATTAATATGAGGAAATTCAATGTTCCTTGTCATGTGATTCATTGTTGTTTGTTGTTGTGTCAACAGGTAGCAGCTTAAACGCCATTTACCGTTACTATAGAAGCAAAGGTGACAGGCCAAAAATGTGCTGGAGTGTCATTGACCGTTGGCCCACACACCCTCTGCTGGTGGAGGTTAGACACACACACACACACACACACACACACACACACACACACACACACACACACACACACACACACACACACACAAACACGCTAATGGGGCAGAAAGAACAAGGCGAATAAACATTTTCGGCACAGAGTTGTCATAGTAACCAATGCATCAAAACCGGTTGCAAGCCTCGTGATGCAGTGCGATGTCAATATGTCATTTTGGTGGAGCACTGCCACATTTTATTTCATGAACGTAACACTTTCCTGTGTGTGTCCGTGCAGTGTTTTGCAGAACACATCAGTAATGAGCTGCTGAAGTTTCCAGAAGCGAAGAGAGACGATGTTGTGATTCTATTCTCTGCCCATTCACTTCCTATGGCGGTGAGTGCAACATGATATTTGCCTGTCCTGCTGTACTTGATCACGAATGCTATTTTTATATCAAATCCGCTTTGACTCGATGGAACAACCACATTAAATCAACAATTTATGTTTACTCTTCCAACGGCACGACTCGTCATGACCGACCGTCCTCCTGTTGTGTAATGTGTGCAGGTTGTAAACAGAGGTGACCCATACCCCCAGGAAGTGGGCGCGACAGTCCAGAGAGTTATGGAGAGACTGGGACACTGTAACCCTTACAGACTGGTGTGGCAGTCCAGGGTAAACCCCCGTACACTTCAGAATTGAAACTGTTGATCCGCGGGATTGATCCGGTGCTCAATTTATAGTTTAGCAGAGATCCGAGGGACATGGAATAGGGTATAGGGTACAGTGGCACGCCAGCGACCACTAGTGGTACTCACTTTGGGACACGAGGTGAAGTTCTGACTCGAACAAATAAATTGCACCTTCAACTCTGTTTTACAACCAAGCACAGCATTTGAGGACACAACAGATATTTTTTCCCCACTACTGAAATTATTTCCTTTTTTTTCTTTTTTTTTTTTTTAGGCTAGGACAAGAAAATTAAAACAATTTTCTTGTTTTAACATTTATTTTTGTGCTTTAAAAAAAAAAAAAAGTCACAAACGTCTGTTGAAAATAACACATTTTCATTCGCACATTGCAAATTGAGTTTTCAGTCCACCCCGTTAGTGATTTGAATTCTGTCACCTCAAGATGGAGCCACTTCCCTATCTCATCGAGAGTGCCCCCCCAACCCTCCCATCTCTGACCGCATCCTGTTCTGTGCTTCATCCCTCAGGTGGGGCCCATGGCATGGCTCGGCCCCCAGACGGATGAGGTCATTAAAGGGCTTTGCGAAAGGGGGAAAAAGAACATCCTGCTCGTGCCAATCGCGTTCACCTCCGACCACATAGAGACTTTGCACGAGCTGGACATTGAGTACGGACAGGTGCTGGGCGAGGAGGTGAGAACTTGCACAAATTTCAATCCGGTCTGGCGAGTCATACTCTCAGCAGATGCACATCAATGAATAATGAAGAACAAAGAAGGAAGCTCGACAACAAAACTAAAATATACCTCATGGCTTTTTTTTTTTTTTTTTAATCTTCTTGTCTCCCGACTCCAAATTTTGTCTGTCGTAGTCTACCATTAAGAGAATTGTGTCTCATTGCCACAGCCACCCTCGGGCACCTAAATGAGTTCTCTCTTATTTTTGGTAGACCCCCTCTGATGTCTCCAGGATCAAGTGACATCAGTGGAGCTCTGGTCTCCAGATAAATTGTTCAGGATGTGTGTTAGGTTGTGTCTATGTCCAGCAGCTGAGCGGCATGTCTGTCGGAAGGCACCAGCAAGGTGACCACAGATCAATGTGACTGGTGCCACAAAGACACGCACGCAGACATCGACGCATTTTGCACATTGGATGCACGTTTGCTGCACTCCTGCTTTCCCTCAGTCATCAACCGCGAGCGTTAAACAAAGATGAAATAATCGTACGGAACTGTCCAGTTCCAAAGTGATGGACGGTGGAATACATTTTCAATTTTAGTGCACTCAGTGTCACTGAACAGTCTGAGCCCCTTCAAGTGTCTCCACGGCCACCAAAATGAAACCTGTTGTTCAAGAAATCATTGGAAGTTCAGAACAAAGCGCGCGTGTGTTTATTGTAAAAGAGAAGGGGAATTTAAAAAAAAGGACTGCAGAAATGAAAACACGTACTTTTATACTCACTATACACGTATCGGTTTAATGATACATTTCATACTTCTCAACTGGAGAAAAATGAACCACCTTTCTTGGACCGGGCTATTTGCTGATGTGTGGGCACATTGGGAACCTTTGAGGCCTTCCCATGAGACTGTTTTGGTCCGATTGTGATTGTAACTTGAATGTCGTTTCCCCCCCTCCTCGTGTCAGTGCGGTGTGGAGAACCTCAGAAGAGCCGAGTCGCTGAATGGGAATCCTCTCTTTATGAAGGTACGCAGACATCCACACGCACGTCAGTGATCCAACGATTAGACTGCTACGCGCAGGGATTGGGAATATTGACAGATTTGTCAAAATGCTGAGAAAGTAACCTTTCTGCTTTGCGGCATTGAAGTGCATTTCAAGTATTTATTTATTTTCGCGGGACCTAAAATCCTTGGCAATGAGTCGAGGGTCGGATGGTGTACCGTCGCGGACGACTCGAGTCTTCTATGGGCACTTACTAACAGCAGATGAATAGATTTGCTTCAAGGCATTCTGCTCCCGGAGTTGCGCCTTGTGTGAGGCAGACAAGATAATTGTACCACTTCTTCTTTCCATTATCTCAAATTGCTAATGGCTAGGTCACGTTCATGTATGACTGCCAGCAACTGTGTACATAATACATTGAGAGGAGATATTGTATGATTTAATGAAGGGGAGGGAGGGGGGGGGGTGCAGGACAGACACATAGGAGACCACGGCAGACTGTTTTGTGGAAGAAGTAAACTACAAGCAGGATGCTGTCAAGAAACGGACCCCCTCCCTCCCCCTTTCCGATCTTTCGATTTCTCTTCTGACTCATTTCTGCTGTTCTTCTTCCTTTCCCTCACTCCTCCTTTCTCCGCTGCCTCCCTTTACTGTCTGCCCTTCAACAGCTAACTGCTACAACTCTAATAGTTCTTTGAGTGTTGTATTTAGTGTGTGTGTGTGTGAGAGAGAGAGGTTTATTCAAGCAAGTAGCGGATCAATGGGAAGCTTAAGAGCTGACTACAGTAGAACTGAACTGCCCGGCTGTCTGGCTGGTCAAACCCGCCATTGCTCAGAGACCCCTTGGTAGGGCCGTGCGTGTGCGTGCGTGCGTGCGTGCGTGCGTGCGTGTGTGTGTGTGTGTGTGTGTGTGTAGATTTGAAATCACCTGTACACCGAGGGCATGAAAGATGAACCGCGATGGAAACATGGCTTCACTGTGTACTTTTCACAATGTCCACGATTTGATTTTGACCCACAGCCACTCACTCTCTTCTTTATTTTGTGTTCAAGCAAAGCAAGCTTTGAATGTCCATCCATCAAAAAAAAAAACAAAAACTAAAGGTAAAACTGTTTGTATGTCTTTGGTCTTGTCCAGGCTCTGGCGGAACTGGTCCAGTCCCACCTGAAGTCCAATAAGCCGTGTTCCCGCCAGCTGACTCTACGCTGCCCGCTGTGCACCAATCCCATCTGCGGAGAGACCAAGGCCTTTTTCGCCAACCAGAAACTGTCATAGAACATGTGCGCAGGCGGAGCGCAACCATCCCCGTGAAGGCGCAATCGGGGCATCCGATGACATCATGCACTGTCCAGTGTGGGGGAAAAACACTGAATGACGTCAAACGTCTATTGGGAAAAAAAAAATTCCAAGGAAAAGGTTGAACAAAGCTTTGTCAGCATCTCCTAACTTTTTCATCTCCTCTTTTGTTTCTACTCGAAACCAACGATATCCCGCCCGCTCTTTTCGCTGATTTGGAATTCAGCGGGGAAGCGTGAAACACGTTCAAATGAACAAAGTCAGCCGAGTGTCAGAATATTCCCTTCACGCTGAACTGATCAAGGTCTGCATGAGCAGGTGCTCGTCTTAAAGATTGGAATGCCGTGAAGAACGTTGATTTATTTCAGGAATATTATTCATGAAGTGAAACTTGTGTAACGCATACAAGGGAGCTGAAGTAAATCAAATTTTTCATGATATTGACATTTTTTGGACGAGCACCTGTCAGCACAAGTGATGCTCCGCTGAAACGGCTTCATCAACGCAAAATGACAGAAACAATTGTACTAGTTTTCAAGTTACTTTTTTTTGTTGTTGTTATTCTTGCATTCCATCATCTCAGCACCTCACAGCGACCGCTTACCTTTTTGTTTTTCTGCCGACTGACCGCAGTCAAAAGGTTGTGATGCTTTCTTTGCAGTGTCAAGACAAGGGTGGTGCAAACGTCCAAAGTGTTCATCACAGTGATGAGCTGAACAAGATCCTCGTCTCAAGTCTCGGGTTCAATTTACGAACCTTTGAACCGCTAGTTAGCATTGTCTGCAGATTTTTCCATGACTTCCATGATTGGTATCACGTTGTTTCAAGATCACCTGCTCAAGGCTGAACAGCTACCCCAACCTCGCTGCTTCCTTGTGAATTATGATGTTTAAAAGGGACAATTTTGAAGTAAAATTCCCTTCTGTCGCGAGACTGGAATTACGAATGTGTGAAATGTTACTAATGTTATGCTAATATCAATTTGTCCCCCCCTGCCCCCACCCACGTTGCCATTATAATGTGCCTTTTTCGATTTGTACATGAGGTGTTATTTTGTTATATTATTTAGAGTTTTACAAATGAGTGCTTACGAGACGTGTGAATTTCCCAGGTTGATGCCAAAACGTAACATCTTGGTGATGGATTCGCTTAAAAAAAAAATCTCATTGCGCCGGGTTCGATAAGGGTGAAAATGAACCACATTGAAGGGCAGATGAGAATATGGTACCTTCCATGTTTGTTCGACTCTTGTCAACATGGGCACCTCTTGTAACCACTGGCCTTCAACCATCAGCCACCTCTGCCCGAATTGCATCCAGAGTTGCACTTTACAGCAAAAATTCTCTCTTCTCATAATTCACAGACGATTGTGCTTCCAAAAATTTGATCATGTTGCTTAAAGGTCCTTCGGCCCTCATGTGTGCATGTATAACTGAGGTGGCGTAAAATATCAACATTAAGTTTCCAGACTAATCAAAGCATTGTTTGTGCATGGCTCATTCCAGGCACAGTCAGGGTTGGCTATTTAGTCAAATAAGCCGCGGGACAACACGTCCAGCTTAACCCCAGCGCACAATCGTGGCCAGAAAAAGCCATTCGAACAGTCGAACGGGGTTTCCCGCTGTTTGCATTAAAGGGCAATAGCTGCTGCCAAACGGAAAAAAAAAAATTCCGGTGTGTTCACCTGAAAAGTGCATTGGGTCGAATTGCTTTATAATTAAGATTCCCCCCACTGTCTGTGTTTATTTATTTGCTTTTGATTTGTTGCATTGCAGACATTTCCCTGCATCGTTGAAAGCAAAAATGGAGTCACGGAGTTTTCAGCATGTCTTCCTGTATGGTCAAATAAACGGCAAAACATGATACATGAAAACTGTGATTTCTGATGACGTGAACGATTAAAAATGCAGAAGTTATTCGGATTATTATGCTATGAACACGGCCACATTGTAAATGAAACAACCAACCACCAAAATATGTGGCTCCCTTCAGCTTGGAGGTAGCCAGCTTGTGTTTCCATGCGTTAAAACCGATGAAACCTCACTGTTTTTTGTTGTTTCATTGTTCTCATTTTTGCGACATGTAAGCATGGATACCGCTAGCATTTTAGCATTTGATCAATCCCCATTGGAAGTAGCCGTAGCACTTATATAAAACCAAAATCAGTCTGTCTTAGCGCTTTCTCTACTCAGGTTGCTCTCAAACGCCGCGTTAGCATGCAAACACCTAGCATGTTAGCATTTTATCAGTCCTAATTAAATATAGTCGAGTCGAACTTCGTACAGCGTTTTCCTCCCTGACTTAGCAACGCTACTGATCGACTCAGTACATTTCTGCACTTCCTGCCCAAACTCACGGAGGCCTGGCGCGGTCCTGTCCTGAGCACATGGTCTGGAAACATGTCCATCTTCCTCAGTACGTCCATCCCCCATCCTGCCTTCCTTCTTCCTTGCTCAGCTTGTTCATTTTCTCTTTCAACCCCTCCTCTTTTCTCCCTTTTTGTCTGACCAATCTTTTACCCATCTTCCAGCTCCATCCCCGCTGCCTTCCACACCATCCCGTTCATTTCTATCAACTTGCCTCCCCCTCACCCCCACCCCTCCCCAGCAACCCCCCTGCGGTGTTGCAATCACCTTTGCTGCTGTTGATTAAGCCGAGAGAGATTGGCTGTCCACGACCCAATAACCCCTGAGGTTGCAAGGCTTGGCGCCCTCTCTCCCCTTTTCTTGCCCATCCTCCCATTTTGCGCCGCACCCCCCTCACAGCATCCGAGCCAGCAATAGTATTACCCGGTGTTTCTTTCGCCTCACTGTCACCGCAGCCTTTGCTCCATCTTTTCTTGCCCACTTTTCTCTTACTCTCCTCTGGTGACTACACGCTCACATTTTACACTCGTAGAGTGAACGGGTGTAAAACGTCTTTCAATAGATTCTATAGTGAGGCACTTTTAGCCCCAAAAAACGACCATGTATAGTAAAGCGTTTTTAGCCCAAAAAAAACGACCATGTATAGTAAGCATTTTTAACTGAAAAAAACGACCATGTATAGGAAGGCGTTTTTAGCCCCCCAAAAACGACCATGTATGAAGGCATTTTTTGCCCCCAAAAAACAACCATGTAGAGTAAGGCGTTTTTCACAACAACAAAAAAAGACAACCATGTATAGTCAGGCGTTTTTTACAGCCAAAAAAGACAACCATGCATAGTAAGGCATTTTGTGACTTGTTCCTTGGTGTGAGTGCCAAGTGGTGTGCGGGTAAGTGGATCAGAAAATGGATGGCTACGCAACTTTTTGAGAGGGCGCAGGAAGGCTGGAGGCAGATTTGAACCCTGCGGTTCTGCATTGGGACGCAGACCCACGAACAATTCGACTACCAGGTGGGTCGTATATGTTTTCCATTGTCCCTATCTCACACCATTTCTTGAAAAACAATTAGACCATGAATAGAAAACCGAAAAAAACGACTATGTATAATAAGGCGTTTTTAGCCAAAAATAACGTCCATTTATAATAACACGCTTTTTAACGAAAAAAACAACCATGTATAGTGCGGCGTTTTTAGCCGAAAAAAATGACATAGTATAGTAAGGCGTTTTTAGCCGAAAAATACGACATAGTATAGTAAGGCGTTTTTGGCACGAAAAAAACGACATAGCATAGTAAGGCATTTTTAGCCGAAAAAAACGACATAGTATAGTAAGGCGTTTTTGGCACGAAAAAAACGACATAGCATAGTAAGGCATTTTTAGCCGAAAAAAACGACATAGTATAGTAAGGCGTTTTTGGCACGAAAAAAACGACATAGCATAGTAAGGCATTTTTAGCCGAAAAAAACGACATAGTATAGTAAGGCGTTTTTGGCACGAAAAAAACGACATAGCATAGTAAGGCATTTTTAGCCGAAAAAAACGACATAGTATAGTAAGGCGTTTTTGGCACGAAAAAAACGACATAGCATAGTAAGGCATTTTTAGCCGAAAAAAACGACATAGTATAGTAAGGCGTTTTTGGCACGAAAAAAACGACATAGCATAGTAAGGCATTTTTAGCCGAAAAAAACGACATAGTATAGTAAGGCGTTTTTGGCACGAAAAAAACGACATAGCATAGTAAGGCATTTTTAGCCGAAAAAAACGACATAGTATAGTAAGGCGTTTTTGGCACGAAAAAAACGACATAGCATAGTAAGGCATTTTTAGCCGAAAAAAACGACATAGTATAGTAAGGCGTTTTTGGCACGAAAAAAACGACATAGCATAGTAAGGCATTTTTAGCCGAAAAAAACGACATAGTATAGTAAGGCGTTTTTGGCACGAAAAAAACGACATAGCATAGTAAGGCATTTTTAGCCGAAAAAAACGACATAGTATAGTAAGGCGTTTTTGGCACGAAAAAAACGACATAGCATAGTAAGGCATTTTTAGCCGAAAAAAACGACATAGTATAGTAAGGCGTTTTTGGCACGAAAAAAACGACATAGCATAGTAAGGCATTTTTAGCCGAAAAAAACGACATAGTATAGTAAGGCGTTTTTGGCACGAAAAAAACGACATAGCATAGTAAGGCATTTTTAGCCGAAAAAAACGACATAGTATAGTAAGGCGTTTTTGGCACGAAAAAAACGACATAGCATAGTAAGGCATTTTTAGCCGAAAAAAACGACATAGTATAGTAAGGCGTTTTTGGCACGAAAAAAACGACATAGCATAGTAAGGCATTTTTAGCCGAAAAAAACGACATAGTATAGTAAGGCGTTTTTGGCACGAAAAAAACGACATAGCATAGTAAGGCATTTTTAGCCGAAAAAAACGACATAGTATAGTAAGGCGTTTTTGGCACGAAAAAAACGACATAGCATAGTAAGGCATTTTTAGCCGAAAAAAACGACATAGTATAGTAAGGCGTTTTTAGCACGAAAAAAACGACATAGTATAGTAAGGCGTATTTGGCACGAAAAAAAACTACATAGAAAAGTAAGACGTTTTTGGCACGAAAAAAACGACATAG